GGCCGCCCTTGCTGTGGTGCGGTGGCTGAAAGCAAGCCAGAGCTCCTGCCCCGCGGAGGTAAAAGACGCGCCAATGGCAAGTGTGTGTGTGTGTGTGTGTGTGTGTGTGTGTGTGTGTGTGTGTGTGTAAAACGCGCGTTTTCTTTTCGGGCGGGGCGTTGGAAGTCGCTCCTATCCGTCAAAAGCCCTCGTCTCGGACCGGGCGGCAGGCGAGGCAGGAAAAAGTGTCCCTGCGCGCCCCCTCCTCCTCCCGGTCCTGGCGGGCTGCTTGGCGGATTCCCGGGAAAAGGGGCAGCTCTTTAGGTCTGGACGGTGCGGACTTTGGGGGACACTTGAAGGATTGGCATGTCAGGATTCGAGCCCCTCTTTCTCTCTCCGTGGCGGGTCTCTTGGCATTTGTGAAAGCCCTGCCTTCTTCCGCGCCCTGGATTCAATCCTGCCTGGGGTGCGGAGTTGGCGGAAGCAAGTTTCTACCTAAGGGGCCGATTCTTAGCGCTGGACGATTCTCCGGATACCAACCCTAACCCTCCTCCCGATTCAGCAGATGCAGGTTTTGCTGCGTGTTCGATGACGCCTTGTGCTTTACGAACCCGTTTTGGCGGATTTGCACGAGGTTACATTTGTATTTAATTTGTTTCATGGAAACCTTTTTAGGTTTTGCTTGGCCTGAAGCGCTGCCTGAGAGGGAACCCTGACAGTACAGAATAATTGGCCACATTGTTTTGATGCTTGAGGCAAAATTTCCCACGAGTGCTTCTTCACCTTCCTTGGCAGTAAAAGTGCAGCACTTCTACCTAAGGACAGGGCTTAACACTACGTTCTTTTCCGATTTCTCTGCTGTTGCCATACTTATTTTTTTCCATCTATAAAAACTTATGCAGTGGGATGTCTTTAAAAAGAGCTGTTTACTTCATAAGTTAAGCAGAGAGAGAGAGAGAGAGAGTAGTCATCCATGCAAGTGGAAAAGATGTATGTGTACAGGTTGGCCTATAAAGTGGGAAGGCCCTTTACATAGGTCATGGGGATCGTCTTTTGTGATGAAGATGAAAGGATATGTATTAATACACTGGTATTTGGTTGGTGATTTATCTCAAGAGCCAATGGGAATGTTGTCATTTAAAAAGTTGGTTGGGTTTGTGTCAGGCTTCTTGTATATTCATGTATACTATAAGCCTGGCAGATATTATGAAGATTCTTTTTTGGTTTTCAGCAGGTCCAGTAGTGCCAAACTAGGCTAGTGTACTGTACTTTGGTTGTTGTTTTGCTCTTGAAATAATGTTGCTAAAGAACACTAGAGGGCAATATATGTGCTTTGCTTATGATTTTCTTTTACGGAGATGTGCCACCTTAGACTTCAGTTTCTACATATACATTTTAGAAAATACATCCTACTGAATTCAATATGTCTATTGGGTAAAGAAGCTTAGAATCATGCTGAAAGTCATTACTGTAGTTTCTATGACATAAATTCAAGTTATGTGTAGATGCTAACCTCCTCTGTTGCTGGTTTTAAAGCACTACACCAGACTTCTGGAAAGCAATGCTGAATACAGGTGATTGCACAGATCAGAATCCACAATCATGTATTTGGACTGTGTTTAGTTTGAACTATTTATGTGAAGCAAAGAGACACAGTCCTTGGGCTTGTTTTGGGGGAAGCTGAATCAGTGGGTTGGATCTCATGTCTTTTCTGTTGGAAGGAGCATTCTTTGAGCTGAATTCTTCTATCACGAAACAGGAAAACTATTCTAGAGTATTGGCCACTTTTCTGGAGAAGATTTTTGGGTGGCATAGGGAGCCGCTCAGGAAAAGAGGAATTAGCAGAAGTCAGGTGCCATGTTGATTAGTTACTAATATTTTTTTTTGTTCACAGTCTTCAGTTGAAAAGGTTGAATTCTGTTTCTTTTCTTTTTTTAAAATTATATCTCTTGACAGCCTTTTGCCCACAGGTTCTCATTTGCAGAGGATTACAGTAACCTTATAATAACGTCTGTAGCAGTGAAGAAAAATGTAAAACTTCTGTACATGTGCTCCTCATATATGGTGATCTGGTCTATAATAAATAATACTGTATATAAAATGTAACTAACAGAGTGTGCACACAGCAGTATTGATAAAAAACCACTTCTAGAGGAAGACTTGTTATTCTTCCTTATGTGCTTTTTTGCCAGAAGTTGATAGTAAATAATCACTTGGTCATTGTTAAAAACATTAAATAACATTTACTGTTTAAATCATATGTAGAATGCAATAAGACTCATAGTGCTTAGAAATATTGGTATTTGCTATACATGTACTTGTTTTAATTATTTTATTATATCATCATTAAAACTTGGCAGATCTGGTTTCTCTAATGAACAACTAACTCTCACAACCTAAAACTATTGTACATTTAGCCCTACCTGGCCCTGTCAACTACTATCAGCCACATATTTGTCACTACCAAATGTTATGGCCCTATCTGAGACAACTAAATCCTACTGCCTTGTTTCCCTGAAAATAAAACCTAACCTGAAAATAAGCCCTAGTATGGTTTTTCAGGATGCTCATAATACAAACCCTATGCCAAAAATATGCCCTAGTTAAGTGAAACCCCGCCCTCCACCATTGTGCAGCAATCAGAAGAAGATGACTGTAATTTGAATAAATGTAGACTGTTGTACATGAAAAGAATAAAACTTCACCTGAAAATAAGTCCTAGTGCATTTTTAGAGCAAAATTTAATATAAGACCCTGTCTTATTTTCGGGGAAACACGGTGCATATCTGCTTTATATATCTGTCTGGTGAATGTCAGACACTTTGTGGTTGGTCAGAATGCTTCACTATGCAAAGATGACACTAGTTTTTCCCATGCAAACAGATTTACACACACACGTGCATGTGTGTGCACACATACAAACACACACAGAGTGTTCTACAATTGCTATACGAACAATGAACAACTTCCCTAATGCAGAAGAGGAAAGGATGATGGTTGGAAAGACTGGTGCCTCCATGGTTTGCTAGGATACTGACTCATATCTGAATTTTTATGCAGTACTGTAATGCCTTTGTTTAATTATTTGTTGGATCTGTCTTTCCTTCAGTGACCTCAAGGCAGCATACATGCTTCTCCTTCTCTCAACTTTAGGAAGTAAATAGACCAAGGTCGCTGAGGGAATTGCATGTTTAGATGTGGACTTGAACCTGTTAGATCTAAATCCATTTTTGTAATAATTGCACCACATTCAATCTAATAATTCTGGAAAATAGTTTATTTAGAAAAATGTTTGCCTCAGACAAGTTCTTCATGTTAGGGCTGGGCCACTGCTAGAGCAGAACTTGTACTCTTCTACTTTTCTTAAACATCACTTTTTGGGAGAATAAATTCATTCAGGTATATGTACAGTTTCCGTGTATGTTAGTTCACTTGCAAAGAGTGTAGGATTTTGTCCTGTCATCAAAGTAGCATGTGTGTTCCAACATTTTCAAAATGCACCAGGTTTGAATAAAGCACAATGACTACTTTTGACACTCATATTGTGGGGAGAGGGGAAGTAGCTTGCCATATTTCCTTTTCTCCCCCAGTTAAAATGGACACTTATTATGCTATATTGTAATATTAAGGTGTTTTTGTGTATCATGGTTTTCATCCAAGCAATTTATTGTTGCTATACCCTTGAGGTGGTTAAGTGCACTTAGTCAGGTGAGAGGAAGTAAAGTTTGGTGTTTTAATAAACAGCTATGAATGGTTGCTTATTGGGGTTAGATAATTTTCATTAGACTCTCATTTCAAATTCACTTATTTTGTGGCAGATTAGGATAGCCAGCTGTTGAGGGTATGTGGGCCAAAGCCATAGCAGGCCTCAAGATCCAGCATGGGCCGCAACAGGCCTAAAAATGTGAGAAATGTATTTCTGGTTTGTAAAATTTTGTTTCTAATTTGACTGTTTGTTTTGCAGTGGGAACAGAAGATGGCTCTTTTCCACCCCCATTTTGTCCAGGCCATGGGGAGGGAGATTCGTCAGCCTCAGAGGACTTAAAAAAAGATGCTGGCGTCATGTATACAGCTCTGAGCCACACTTTGCCCATTTTGCTATGCATGTTTATAACTGGCTGCCTTGAGTAGCCTCATTGTAAAAAGAAATGAAACAGAGTTCATGTATATACCGCTAGATTGAAAAAAAGAACCATGCCTATTTTGTTTTTCTCCTTTTTTTATAGGAAGGCCAGACCCACCCCAAGTTCGCTTTCCTTACTTCGTTTCAAAAAGACTTTGTGCCTTTTTTGCTCAATTACTTGAGGGAACAAACCAGTCGGATATTGACCAATGGACCATCTACTCCTGCTAAAACGCCAAATGCCAAGCTTCGTGGGGGTGCTGCTAGCTCTCAGAATCAAAGGGGAGGATCTCAGAGAAGGCCTTCTAGTACAGTGGGATTTGGCAACAGTCGAGGGCAGCTTTTTTGTGATACATCACCTTCCGATGTCTGTACCCCAAATAACGTTGAATCACGTGGATCTTTTATCTTAAATGGGTCAAGTTTTTTGACTTCTTCTAGTGACTTCCTAAATGTGAATAATAGCACCAGCCCAAATTGCAGTTCAAGCCCCAGTTTTTCTCGCAATGAAAGACGATCTGCTCAGAAAACAAGTCTGGGAAGTTATTTTTTGGCTGCCCCAGTGAGGCGAGTCAGAAGAAAAGGTAACAGTTCTGCAGGTGGTTCTGGCCAGCCATTGGCCCAAGATCTGGGAAGAAGCATGAATGACGAAGTGAAGTGTGGTAGTCCCTCAGTGGAGTCATCCAGACAGAAGAAACAGAATGAAGCAACTTCTGTCTTTTCCATTTCACCACCTGATCAGCTTAATCTAAATGACTTGGAGGAGTTTCCACCTATGAGTGCTGCTGGAGTGACAAAGTAAGTCTCAATGGGAAGATGTCTTAGTAGTCTTTGTAGCTCAAATCTAAGAGTAGTTTTGTAGCTTGGTGGAAGGTACAGCCATAACTCAATAGCAGAGTATTCATTTTGTACTGGGAAGATCTGTAGTTCAATCTCAACATCTCTAAGTAGAGATTTGAAGATTCTTTTACGAACTCCTAGAGAGAGGCTGCCAGTCAGTGTCAGCAATATAAGCTAGATGGACCAGTAATATAAGCCAGTAGAAGATGGGTACCTGTGACTCCAATTAAATGTCAACAAGTGAAGGGGCAAGTAAAACAACTGAAATCTGTGATTGAAATCTGAGCCCATGCCATAGGCTCCTTAGGGATGGAGCTGGAGCTGACTAGTAAAATATGCCACCTTCCCCCTGCCAAACTTCTACTATGGTGCTAAGGTCTGAAATGTGCCTTCTCCCTTCTGGTCTCCTGCTTGCCTATCAGCTTCATCCACTCCCAACTGCAAGCATGTTTAAATGGCATTCTGTTCCCCTCCTTAACCTTCAAGCTCTTAAGCTTTGCTCCAAGTGAGAACTGCTTGATTTATGCTTATTCTCGAATCAGATTTTGTGATAGCGTGTTTTGTCAGACAGTAGCTAGAGGAGGTTCAGAGGGTGACTTGTATAATTTTTGAGCTAGAGTGGTCTTAATCGACTAGATAGGCGGGATATAAATAGAATAAATAAATAAATGATTAGCAGAAATATTTCTTAGTAAGTTCTATATTTCAGCTTGTCTTTTTTTCTCATTACAGTAGTCAGTGTATTCAGATGGTGTCCAGAATGCATAAGTGTGGAATGGTAACTGGCTGTTGGGGTTTCTTTCCCTCAGTCTGCTTTTATTTTTCATTTCAGCAAAACCAAACCATCAAGAAGAATCAATCCTACTCCAGTGAGTACTGAACGAACCCTCTCCAAGCCCAAGATGTGTTTCACTTCCACACCTGTTGGCAAATCTCACGCTCTTCACTTTCAGTCTGGAACCAGTCCTGAGGCCCTTGATTCCTCTCAGGAAGTCAACCTGATTTCCTCTTCTGGAAGCCTTCAGGAAGAAAGAGAGATGTTGAAGAAAGAACGGTACTTTACAAAATTTGAGGATGAGGTGTTCAGGGGCTGGAAGGATCTACCAATGCTGCTGGATTGTTGTTTGAGTTGTTGCTTTGTAGAAGCAGACCTGAATGTTTCTTAGGGGATTTGGGGTAAACCTGAACTTCTAAAATGCTCAAAATGTGAATAATTTTGAATTTCCCCCCCCTCTCTCTTTCTCTGTGTGTGTGTGTGTGTGTGAGAGAGAGAGAGAGAGAGAGAGAGAGAGAGAAAGTGTCCACTGAAAGAATCTACAATTTCAAAGCCACATCTTAAAGCCAAAAGGCTTTTCTTGGTATCACCTGCAAAAGTGACCTACTTTGAGTGTCCTTGACCCTGAAAATAACTGTTAAATACCTGTGTCAGTATTATAGTTTGTCCAGTCATATTGAACTAACTGTAACATGCTACAAGTACATTAGAAAATTGTTTTAAAGGGCACCTTTTTTTTCTAGAGGATGTGGTGTTTCTCCAAAGAAATTGTTCTTTGTTTGCTTAATATATATTTGAAAGAGAACCATTGGTCAGTATGGAGAAATAAAGGGTCTTATGGAGTTTGTTTGTTTGTTTGTTTGTTTGTTTTTTGGTGTTGCCATTCCTATTTTGTATTCACTCTTAGTTTGAATTACAGGTCCAAATTATTGCATCAGACATCTACCCCGGCAGGATTATCTTCAGATTCTGGTTCATCTGCTAAATCTCCTATTGGATTGAATGGGAGTCTCCTGACAGAAAACCAGTTGGTAACCTCTGCAGATGTCAGCAAAGTTTCTTGCAGGAAACAGCTGCAACAGCTGGCTCAGCTTTATTCACTTTGCATATCAGGTAAAAGATGACAGTATAGTATATATTTTAGGGTCATATTGATCAGAGATGATGCTAAGAATATTAACTGATATAAATGACCTCAAACAAAATGCCTTGGAAAAACAAAATTTTTCAACTATTCATGCAACCCTCCTCATAAAAGCTGAAGGAAAGAAAAATGTAGACTAGGTTCTTGAACAGTAACAGGAATTCAGCATGCTGTGCCGACAGAATCCAGATTCTGGGGTTTCATTTTTCTCTCTTCCTCCTGTTTCCTTTTCTCTGTTCTCCCTTTTTCCACTGTGCCCATTGGGCTTCTAGAAGAAGAGATTGTTCTTTGCAAATTTCTGGAAAGGTTGCTTTCAAGGAACAATATGAACTGTGGTTGAGAGACATATAGGTAGCTCCTGATGTGATTCCTAGCAGTGAGCCTTGGTGTGCTGAAGATAGAGAAAGGAAATAGATAAATAAGTTCCCTTTCTTTTTAAAAAAGACATGCAGTGTCTGTGCTGATGAAGCAAAACATCTTAGTCAACTCTTTAAGTTAAAAATGTTTGCCTTTAAAAATCTATTTTATATAATTTCTTACTTGCAGGTAATAAGGCTTCGAATTTGGGAGAGAATTAGAATTTTTACAAATAAACAAATCAGATATATTTTTGAATGAGTCATTGTGTTTCTTTGCTATCCTTGCAGAAAACCTGGTGCCAAATATCTTTCTGGAGTTTTTCTTTGTATTGCAACTGCTAACAGCCAAGGGAACTTCTTCTGTGGAAGATGAGGGGAGTAACCCGGATGTTACTGAAGAGTATAAAGGTCAGAAGTTGTGTTAGATATGGACCTTTGTTTTTAATATATGATATAGACTGTAACAGAAGATAAACAAAGCTTGGTGTATTTTAAAAGCTTGCCCTTCAGGTACAATAGATCAGTGGTTCTTTTTTATTGTTACTCAGATGCTTTTGAACTGTAACTCCCAGAAACCCCAGTCAGGACAGCTGGTGGTGAAGGCTTCTGGAAGAGTTGCAGTCCAAATCTCCTGAGTAACCCAGGGTTAAGAACCAGTGCAATAGATCACCCCTCCATTTTTATATAAGATAAGGCAGTGACTAGTAACATGTGACTTCATTTGAATGACTGAATTCTAGTTTAATAAACTAGAGTGTGCACCAGTTTGTGCATTTGTGAGTGAAGTAATAAGTCAGGAAAGTATAGTTAACCATAATTTCCATTCGTATCCAAACAAGGAAGACACACTTAACAGCTTCCAAATAAGCCTAGATTCAGAAGCCAGTTTTAAAACTTTACTTGGTATTTATTGCCTTGTTCGGAAGTCATTAAACATATGGTAGTTTTGGCATAATTGAGATGCTTTGGATGACTGTGGCTTTCTAGATATTCTAAAAGAGATACAGAGAGGCTGCATTTCAACTTTCGTAGCCATGGTCTGAGCAGGGCTATTAGAAAGTGGCAAATTTTAAAACACTTACAAATCAAAATTTCATTTTGGTATCCTTACAGAATACTATACATCTGGAATAGAGATGGGGGTATTCGTATATGAATATGAATATCCCCTCACAGGTGGAAATAATGAGGTTCCAGCCCTATGGGGTTGGAATGTCCACTCACCATTCTGCCACTGACGCGAGCCTTCTTATCATGCCATTGTCTGCAATGGATTGGCCACTCTGCGAACTGGCAGAGAGGTCTGTCATCCCACCTCCTGCCAGGAGTGGCCGATCTGTTGTGGACAACAGCATGATAGGAAGGCTCCGTCGAGCTTGCATCAGCGGTGGAATGGTGAGTGGATAGTCCGGCGCCATGGGGCTGGGCCCTCATTCTTTCCACCTGTGGGGGATATTCGTATTCGAATATGAATACCCCCCCATCCCTAATCTGGAACTTTTAAACTATATTTTACCATGATGCCTGAAATTTTCATTTCATTATGTTTTCAACAAATGAGCCCGACATATCTAGTTAGTTTATTGTTATGAGCTGAAAATCGCACAGCTCTTCATTTAAACTTGGACCACCCAGGAAGTCCAAATGAAATTTAAGTGTTAAATAAGAAATAACATCTGCTTGACAAGAGCAACTTATGTCTACTTACTGCAATTCTCTATGATACTCTGTTTCCTTATTGCAGTGGCTGAAATCCTGTTGCGCAACTCCATGCCACGTAAGGATTATGCGATGTAAAGTTGAATAACAGGATTTCATTATTGTTACCCAAAACATTTTAGTAAGTTGATTTAACCTATATGATGATTGGTGTTTTCTTAGAGATTTGAACCAAGATAACAGAGATGGGGTAGGAGATCCTTGAGATTTTTTGCTGTCCAGTGGCTGATTTGCATGTATTCTGTGATATGTAGTTTTTACAGAGAAGGTCAGGTTTTCCCCAGCAGAGTTTATCTATATCTTTCTGTTTGTCTTTCTTTTTAACTGTGTTAACTACAATAAATATTATTTTATTCACAGATGCAGTAGAGAGGCAGTATTTTTGCAGCATACACAACTGTGTTTACTTTGCTGTTCAGGTGTTAGATCATCATTTTGTGTAAGTGAATTTGTTAATGGGGTAATCAAAAGTGTACATAATACACTTTTAAACCAATTGTAGAACTGGTTTTATTCAAAAAGTCTCTTTGTGCCCTGTGGTGTGTGCAGTTTTGTCATGTTTGAGGATTTGTAAGATCCCTGAGTTTCCCATACTGCCCTTTTGTGTGTGTGTATATATATTTTGTTTTTAAATTGGCCACTAGAACTAAGGTGTTTTATCTGTTGCAATAATTTTGTTAAGTGAAAGCTAGAGATGGGGATTCATGTTTGTCTACAAAGATGAATCCGGCTGGCACAGGTGGCCCGCCCCATGAGCGCACCCTGTGCCATCCGCGCATGCTTGTGAGCGCACACCATGCCGTCCGCACATGCGCCCCCCATCTCATGCATGGACCCCACCCCCGCAACTGGTCCGCGGTTCGGAAAAGCTTGGGGACCACTGCAGTAAATTGTTAATTCAGTGCTTCAAAACCTAGATTCTGTTGTCTACTAATCAACAGATTGTTCCAGTTGACAAACTCTTTTATTAAGGTAGAATGGTGTATACCATTGTTTTTGGAGTTGAATTTTTTGCTTAGAGTGCCATCCAGTAAAAACCATAATAGGATGGGGGAATCAAACTCCCAGCCTCAGGCTCTGCAGCCAGAAACCTAACACACTGGGTTAACAAGTCACCTGCTATGTCTGTGTTGGCTGGTGCTTTATTAACGGCAGACTGGAGAGCCCAAGAATGCAGCATGGTTTGATCTTTCAGTTTTTTATAATAGTGTTCTTCTTCCTTGTTGCTGTGTTCTTGGCAGAATTGTATCTCATCTAGAAAAAGGCACACTGAAGCTTTTGGCTGAGAATGAGAGGATTGCAGCTTTTTCTCCTGTCCTCCATGAAAGACTTACGATCGCCTATGAAAGTAGCACAGCAAAGGTAAATGCTGCAAACATTGGAAGGACTGTATAAAATTATAGTTCACTCAGTGGTTGGGAATTAAAATGATTTCTTCAGTATCATTGCCACAGTTTATCATGTCTTCTGCATTAATTCTAGATCTAATAGAAATTAAGATTAATTTTTTGACATCATTGTGGCACATGCACAAGAAGCTTCCTGTGTAGCTAGAATGATGGCTGTCATTAACTAGAGAGGGAAAGTATACTGTATCAAAAACTCATCATGTTAAATAGTGAGGCTGCCCAGCAGTTTATGGGTTAGAAAAAGTTGACATTACAGGACCAGCCAGTCTGTAGGTATCATTGCATTAAGTGTAGCTGATTGTTCAGATCTAGCAGCTGGCATAAGAGTGCAGAAGAAAAGTGTCTTGTAACTCTGTCCTCTGGTTTTGTTTGTGTATACATTTACTTCTGTCAGGATAATTGCGTTATGCTTATGCATTATTTTGTATGCTGAACAGATTTCCCTCTTGCTACCTTCATGCGTGCAGTCAGTTTCCTTCCAGCCTGAAACTGACAATCGATCTAATTTTTCCAGTGATAAGGCATTTCACATATTTAAGAAGCAAAGGTAAATATTGTAACAGTTACTTTAGTTTGCTATAAAAGTGTTGCTGATGATTGAAGTGCAGTTGCCAAGATAATCTGTTCTGTATGTTTAGATATGAGTTCTTTGCAGTTGTTGAATGCTGTGTACACTCACCACATGAGAAGAGGGAGTCCCACTCTCTTCTGCTATCACCTCCACTGCTCTCCTGTGCATAGTCTGAAAAGGGAGAGCTTCCATTACCTGTGACAGTTGCGTTCATGAAGCAGAACACCAATTTTCCAGGCCTGTAGCGCACAAGGAAGGTCTCATCTGCTAGTGGAACACAATGCAACAGGATTAGATAGGGAGTGTGGATAGAGAGCTTCCTTGTATTCAGGAGTGTACACAATATTTAATGGTTAAATTCTTGTTCTTATATGCCATCAAATCACTTTCAGCATATGGCAACACTATTCAGAGTTGTGGGAGATGTTCAAGGGGTGGTCTACCATTGCCCCGCCCCAATGAATGTTCATAGGTGAGCAGGAATTTGAAGCCAGGTTTCTGAGTCCCAATTCAGCACTCTGCCCATGATACCGCAGTGGCTCATGGTGACTGTACAGAACTAGGCATTCCTAGCTGTGTAAAGTAGAAGACAAGGGAAGAGCGTCCAATCCCCTGGGTTTGTTCACCATTGCATAAATTACATCTTGGGAGAAATAGCTGCTGGTAATTGATGGAATGGCTGCTTTACCCCTGCACTTCATAAGCCCCGGCTTAGGAAGTGGAGGGCTAAAGCAGCAATGAAAGGGCTGGAGGATCAAAAGGCTGTGATCCTGCAGCCCTTTCATTGCTGCTTTAGCCCTCCACTTCCACAGCCCTTTGATCCTGGGCTTAGGAAGTGGAGGGGGAAGCAGTGATCAAATTTTCTTATTTGGGGTTGGAAAAGTGGGGGTCCTCCTATACATTGGGTCATCTTATACACGGAAAAATACAGTAATCTGCTAAGGCCAGAAGGAGTCAAAGTTACAGTTCTTTTCCTTCTCCATGGACCTCTTTTCCTGTCCTCCTACTCTTCGTATCACAGTAGGTAACTGCTTTCCCTCACATGTTACCTAGTTCAAACTTTAGCTGAATTCTTTTCATTGATGCTTCTGACCATGTAAGCATATTTAACATAACAAGACAAGCCTTCAGTCCATATCTGGGAGTAAGTGCCATTGAACCTTACTGGATTTCTTCCAGAATAACCATGTGTAAGATCATGGTGGAACTGCATTTGTGCAGGCTTGAATTCTCTTAGACATGAATTCTGTATAAGACTCTTAGAAATATTTGTCAGTTGTAGGTTGTGGAATGGTAATTCTTGTAAAAATAAGTAAAATTCTTGTAGAAACTAATGAAATTTTGGTGTGTATACATAAGCAGAATTCCACGTCACCATTTATATGAGTTAGTGGTGCATCATCCTATTATGGTTTCAGGTTTTGAAGCAAACCTGTCTCTCTTTTTGAACAGAGATATTTTCTATGAGTTACTACGTGAATGGGAAGATAACAGTGAAAAACCTGGCTGGGATTTTGAGAAGTGTCTGGGAGACAGGATCAGGTAAAATCATTAGTGCAGCAGTTTTTGTTGTTGTTTAGTCATTAAGTCATATCCGATTCTTCGTGACCCCATGGAGCAGAGCATTCCAGTCTACTCTGAATGGCATTACAAATTTAAAAACAGTTAGACCAATAAACATATACAGTGGTGCCCCGCATAGCGACGTTAATCCGTTCCAGGATTAACGTCGCTATCCGGATTCTTCGCTATGCGGGGGGGGGGAACCCATAGGAACGCATTAAACTCCATTTAATGCATTCCTATTGGGGAAAAACTCACCGGTAAGCGAAGAATCCCCCATCCGGCCGCCATTTTTGCTGCCTCGGTAAGCGAGGCGCGAAAACACTGCGGGCCAGCCATTTCCCTCCAGCTGGGTGGCGCAGGCTTCAGAGAGACCGTGGAGAAAACCCTCCCCTGGGGTCGCTCCGAAGCCTTCTCCCCCAGCCGGGCGGCGCTGGCTTCGGAGAGACTGCGGAGAAAACCCTCCCCCGGGGTTGTTCCGAAGCCTTCTCCCACAGCTGGGCGGCGCTGGCTTCAGAGAGACCGTGGGGGAGGGCTCCCCCATGGTACTTCCGAAGCGCCCGCCGGTCAGCTGGGGGAAAATGGGGCCTATGTGGATTTGTCATTAAACAGGGCGCTCGTTATGTGAGGCACCACTGCACATAAATCCAAGATGGCAAAAATAGAGAATTTAAGATACAGCAGGAGGGAAAGCTTGTCCAAATAACCAGGTCTTAAGTTTACTCTTGAAGACACCCAGAGAGGGAGCCAGGCAGATCTCTACGGGCAAGTTGTTCCAGAGGCGAGGGGCCACTGCCAAGAAGGCCCAGTTCCTCGTTCTTTCCTTCCAGGCCTCTCTTGGTGTTAAGCGCCTCAGCCGCCCGGCCTGGCTGGAACAACTGACTCTGGAAGAACTGGGTAGGAGGAGATGCTCTGCCTCCTCCTCCTACGTAGTAGTAGAGTCTTGTTGTATAACATTATAAATACATTATCATTTGTTCTCTGTTGCCTTTGAGTCTGGTTGTCAGGCAAAATGTTTTTGATCACGTCATAGAGTACTTTTGGTGTTGAAAGACAAGATAGATTTCCCCCTGAAAGAGTGTGAGTGGCAATGAATGTTTTAGTGAGTTAGTTTTCTATCTTTCATGCCCTTGTGGAACCCAACTCAGTCTTTTCCTTTTTCCATCACTCTCAGGGTAGTTAGAAGCAGATATCATGCCTGCATTGTTGCTCCCTAACCCGGCTGCTCTCACAAACATGGGAGGGAACACCCAAGCAGGGAGATCCCATAGATTGAGGTGGTCACAATGCAGATGTTGTTTGGGCTACAGCTCTCAACATTTCAGCTCAAGGAATGCTGGGATTTGCAGTCTGGCAGTTTCTGTGAAGCTGCATGTTGCCCCCCCCCCGCCCCACCTCTCTTCTGCAGGTAAACTACACTGCTTTTCCCTTGAACCATGGCTTTGAATTGGGGGGCAGAAGCTGTGTTTTTAAAAACACAGTATGTCTGGATTTGGATATTGACAGCTGTGCATTTTCTGTAAGATATTCACAGCCTTAAAAAAAAATTAAGAAAAGGGAGGTGGTGAGCGCTCCAACAGTGGAGGCATTCTGTCAGTTATACTTTGACTTGGATACTTACATTGAACAGGGCCTTAAGTGCTCCTTCCAAATCCATTATTCTTTGGTTCTATGAACTGGTGATGGTAGTAGAAGAAGAGAAACATCCTAAATGGGAAGGGACAAGGAGGCATTTGCATCCAAACCACACCTACCACAGGTTTCATGGAGCAACATCTGATGCCTTGTGCCATGGACTTCCCTCACCTCAAACCTCTGAGGCAGATTTCAGAGAATGTTGTGACTAGGAGAAGAAATCCATTCTACCAGTAGGGCCTCTTCTACTGCTGAGCGAGCACTGTTTGATTTTATCCATGGTTTGAGGACAACAAGCATTTAATTCTGCAGGAGGTGGTGTTTTTGGTGCACTCATATGGGAATTCAGTCTGTTCTATTAAAGGCTGTCAGCCTGTTTGTAGATTAGAGTAAATTATATTTTGGAGAAATCTTTCAGTTCACATTAAATATGTATTTATTTCATAATTTTTTAAAAAAGTGGATATTAAATGTTGATTTCTGACTTTCTCTTTATTTATTTGTAGAACTAAAAGTATTCCCCCCCCCCTTTGTTTTGCAGGGTGATGATGGCTCATCTTTCAGCAGCTTCTACCTATAGCCACTTTGCCAGGCTCTTTCAGAAACAGCTGCTTCAGGTAAATAATTTTTTCCCCAATAAGCAAAGTATCTTGCTGAGCTACACTAATAATTTTCCCCAGGACACAGGAACTTACTGGAAATAATAGTAATATGATTTTCCCCTGTTCATATTTAATAATATTGGGAAGCAGAGGAGAAATCTTGTAGAATAATATGTGTAAATAATTTATAATCTAGTTTTTGCAGTTAGCATTTTACACACAGGCAAAAGGGGAAAATGTTATTTCTAATTTGTAAAAGTTATGTCCACTCAGCAGTTTGTAGTTTGAGCTGTGGGGGCTGCTTATTTTTTTTTATAATTTTTGTTGTATGGCAGACTGCCACAGTGCTCATTAAGTTACTTCATATGGGTATTTGCATGCTTTTTGTGGGATGACTAGCCTCTTAATATGCAGTCTACTTATAAACCTTTAAATCATTAAAAAGCTTTTTTTGCTACTGGACTAACATTTTTTAAAAAAAACTTTTGTGGTTTTTTGGTTCCACAAGTGACATAAAAAGACAACCACATTTGAAAAAAGTATACCTCATATTTTAGGCTGTCTGTTGTAGTCTGCTTTCTCCTTGATAAAATAAATTCTGTAAGATTTCAGTTGTGTGGGGGGTTTGGTTAGTTAGTGAGTGAATGAGTGAGTGTCACTATCCTATGCAATTTCCACTTAGTGGGAAGTCCAGGCAGCCTTGTAATGTGTGATTGTATGCCTTGTGCAATTGTTGCCATCTACACAGGTCAGGATCTCTGTAAAGAAAATGTGCCCTCTGCTTTTACAGCTACAGTGCTTATGCATAGGGCATGATCCTGTATTACAGTGCTTGGCAGGTCTGTTCTGTGTGGTCCCAGTTTTTGGGAATTGGGAAATGGTCTCTCTTCATGATTCTTATCACTCCAGTTCTCATAATAATACTTATGTAGTATATTATTTCCAGTGAGTTCTTGTGTCCTGGGGAAAATAGTCTATGCATCACTATTAATAATATGTGCTGCAATTAGTTTGTGAACTTTAGTTGTTCCTTTTTTATTGGACTGTCATATGCTACTTTATGCACTTGAAAGTCACTGAAATCATCATCACTGATTTTTAAAAATTAGTGGCGTGAGATGTGAATCCAAATTTGCAACATATCCTTGAAATCAGAGTGAGGCCTTATAACCAGGGTTTTGTTTGAGAATCTTAGTTTTTACTCTAGAAAGAAAACTTTCCCTGAAATCCTTTTACATAAAATCATGTCTTTTAATCCAGGAGAGAGCCATCATCTGGCAACGGGAATATTTCATTCCAACTATTTGGAAGCTTCCTATCTCCCGATTCACATTTCTAGCTCCCTAGGGCTTCCTTTTGCCCTTGGGAAGCCTTTGGGAGCTTCAGGATGGAGAGAAGGGAGAGTTTTTAATGCCTAAAAAAGTCCCGCTGGGAAGTTTGGGACATGAAAGGAGGAGACAGGAAACTTTCCATTAATTTGAATTAAATATTCCTGTCACTGGATGATAACTTTATGTATGAAGATTTCAGCCACAGTTTTGAAGTGGTGTCCATACAGGTCCAGGCATAGATATATTCAGTGATTATTGTTTCAAAGATGTGAGTCAGCACTCAGACTGATGCACTTTCATATACAAACTCTTCCTGTTGATTGCAAGCCATTAAATGCTGTGCTTGGACTTTGTAAAGAAAGTATAAGCTAAAAGACGCCCCTGATGAGAGTAGTGAATTTGGTGATACTTGAGAAAAATCTTATGCCTTCTCTATCTCACTTTCCCCTCGCTATTCCAAAGATGTGTAAAGGCCCCGTTGGGGGTGGCACAAGCTGGGGAGACGCCCCAGACCAGGATGTCCTTAACATGTTGGGGTCAGGGAATCTGAGCCGACTGAAGAGGCTGCAAGAGAGATTCCTCGTTCCTCAGAGCATCAAAGGGCCCTGCCCACCTCCTTCCTTCCCTGGATGCCAGCAGTTCTTCAGGGACTTCATCCTCAGTGCAGGAAGGTGAGCTGGCAGTTTGTGCTTCCCTGTTGGCTCTATTTGAGCAAGTGTCGGCTGTTGTTGAAGGCCTTTTTGCCACAGCACTGTGTTTGGTCTTGTGAATTGTCAGGGATATGGTGGAGAGGGGGTTCTAGATGAAGACCTTAATGTGGGTTTGTACAATACGCATTTCTTTGTTTTCAGCAGTTTCTAAATATGCCTTGTTGCTTTAATTACCAGAATATATTCCCAAATACCACAGGTTTTTCCAAAACTGGGAAAAGGCAAGGTGAAATTCCATTGTGCTGAACAAAGGAGATTTGTGTTTAGTACTGGAAAAATATCTGTGAGTGGGTTTTGTTCTTTTTTTAAAAATTATTCTGCAAAACCACACACAATGTAGATGAATCTCCTTGATATTTCTAAAATTGCACCCCTGGATGCTGTTCTTTTGCTTTTTTAAAAAGGTTTGCTTTTAAAGTTCTAAATTTTTTAATTATTTAATAGATTTTTAATTGTTACTGTAGTTTTATTGCTCTTTAATTATGTTTTTTACCATAGTTTCTTGAGATTGAAGGATGCCTAATCTAAAAAATTATGTTTTTGGTACTACTTGTATTAACATGGTAAACTGCCTTGGGCTTTCTCACTGGGAGAAAGGTGAGAAATAATTTATTTAATTTATTTACAACTAAATTAAGTAAATCAACTTAAGGCAGGTTGAAGCATGGCGAGTGAATGTAGGGAGAATGATGTTGGTGGGAGACATGTTACCTCTACTTTTGTGCAGACTGTTGAGCTGCACTGAAATGGTTTGCTGTGATCTAGCGAAAAAAATATCTTTCAGTTAGGGCCAGGTGGTTCTGCCATCCCATTATCTCCGTGGAACCACAAGTATGTAAAACAGAACTAGCTGTTGGTGGGGTGACCCCAACAGCACCAAAAGAGGTCACCTCTTTGTATCACCATTTCTGGGAGACGTGGGGCTGGAGACACCCCTTTCCCGCAGTTTACAGAAGACTTGCGTCTCACATCTTAGATGAGAGTTAGAGGTTTGGGAAGTAGCATCACAGAGTGTGGGCTGAGGAGATTAGAGCCTTTGTTGAACTCCCATGTGAGTTATTTAGCCAGATATTGGCGTGTTAACTATTCTGTCTGTTGAGAAGACCTAAGCATTTCTGGTTGCCATCTCTGTTAAGCACAGAGGCTGTTTTAAGCCCATACAGTATTTGTTGGAGAGTTCGTTTTGTTGGTCTTTCACACTGTACTGCAAAATGTTTTTAAATGGCTGGTTTCTATTCAGATTTCTTAACTTGGCTGTACTGCAGTTGGTAACCTTGCCCTTAATATGTATATGTGATGTGTGGACTCCTGTAGGTGGAGGGAAGGGAGCAGGCTGCTCCCTTTGGGTGGATCTTGGGCAGATGGAGGTATGCGCTGGGATGAGACATGCCAGCTAAGGATAGGAAAGCTATTCCATGTTTTATGCCTTCCTCCAACTTTCAAGGTCTAGGTTGCCCTTCTCGCCACTTCGGTCTGACTGTAACCAAACAACTATAATTTATGACATGTTTGTGGGTGAAAGGACTGACGTAGTGTGTCAGTGTTTGATCAACCTAAAAATTGTGGTTGAAGAAACATCAGCATTGGTTAAGTTTTCTGATTATCTGAAAATAAGAGATCTTTCTGTCAGGGTTCTCTGCTCCAACTTTCCCCCCTTTAATCTAAAAGAGAGCATTCTCCTCTTTTATTATTTTTGCTTCCTTTTTTATTCTTCAGGTTGAACGGCATGACTGTTAAGGCTAGAAATGTCAGCTTTAAAAAACAGACATTGATACATAGCTAGGCTGTAAAGTTTCTTGTGTGCTTTTTGTGATAGCTGTAGCAAAGAGGCAATACTGTGCTGAACTTTTAATTTACAAGCAGAAGCAGAGGTGAGTTTTTTTTAAGCTAAAAACATTAAGTGCTTTTTCATCAGGAGAAACAGTAAACTCTTCCTTTCAGTGTCTGCAACCTGAACATAAACATTTCAGCCCAGTCCCTATATTCAGTTGTTCTCAGGAATTAGCTGGCTTTTAGCATTTTTAATTAAATGTGATCTGCACTCAAGATGTTACAACAATTTATCTCTCATCCTTGAAATTTTCAGAGTGCCTTACAACACTAATAAAAATGCAGGAACTTTAGGGGTTCAAAGTAGGGGCATGTAAAGATGAAAAAGTGAGACCTTGCAGAAACTAAGGACTTGGGGAATTTTTAAAAAAAAAAACCTTTGCATCAAATTGACATCCATCCCCCAAGATGAGGTTCTGTCCCCCATGCTATTCCACACTAGATGAAACTGCTGGGGAAGGTGGTCTAAAGTTTTGATTTCAATGCCATCATGCTCACTCAACCCTGTCTCTCCTTCTCACCTGATTCCAAAGGACCTATTCTGTGCCTAGACTAGTGCTTGCTGTCAGTAATGGACTGGATAAGGGCTAACTAACTGAAATTTAATCCTGAGAAGACAGAGGTGCTCCTGGTCGTCTGAAAGGCAGATAGGGATTCAGCCTGTGCTGGATAATGTTACACTACCCCTAAAAAGTTAAGCTTGCAGTTTGGTTGTGCTTCTAGTGTTAATTCCAGATTTTTATTAGGAATTTGTGGGAGGAAAAAATATATAATTTGAATGAGGTGCAAAAGTGTTGCCCTAAAAACTTTCAAAAGTCCTTTAAAAGTATGCCTCGGAGAAGTGCCTAAAAGGTGAAAACATTAGTGAAAAACTGCAACTGGGAACAAAAGCAAAACAGTTGATTTGTTTTTGATACAGAGAGAACAAACAAGATAAGACAGCAGAAGGAAGTTCATTGAGTTTTGGAGAAGTGAACAATGATGCTTATATTATGTGAACAAGACAATAACAAAGAAAAAAGGCAGTTCTATTTATTTTGCCACTTCAGTTACGTTTGCCAAGCTCAGCCTTGAGTTTAGATGCATAGGTTTCAATGGTGGCCATGAGTGCCATAAGTCTAGATGCTCATTAGGCCTTTCTTGGGAGAACATTCCAGAGAGTCTGTCTGCAGCACTGCTAATGCATAACAGTTTGACGTATGCCACTAATTTTAAATATGAGCTTGCATTGGATTAACCATTTCAAAAAGTACTGTAGAGCTTCAGTTTACACTCTTAGCTGAAGCTAAGGTCTTACAAAAGTCTCTCCTTCTCCTGCTCCTTATTATCTTTTTTTTTTTTTTTTTTTTGGAAAGCTATCAGTTTAACCAGCACCTGATGGACAGCCTGTGTCTGCAGATACTTGAGCTGGACGGCCTTGCCTTAGTGGAACATGAACCCAGTGACAGAGATGCAATGGGTGAACAGGTATTTTGCAACATAATGGAGGCAACAGTCCTAAAAATATGTTCACAAAAAATGATCAGTTGGTTCATTGGAGAGAGTGTCTGCAATTCTAATTCTTCATTTTTGAAAATATTTCTAATTTTAAGGAAACCTAATTTCTAGACCAAAATTATATAAAGCTAAAGACTAGAATCCTACTGGTGTTTCTGTAAGGTTTGTATAACTAATGGAGAGATGATGGGGCATGGCTCAGCCATGTGCCTGGCCATGTGCCTGATTGAACAACTGAGATGCTTCCCATTGTGTCTTCAGTTAGCCACAGTAGGTTATGCAGATCTTATGTGAACACCATTAGGATATCATGTTTGCCTTTATACTGCATTGCAGAAAACAAAACAATGACCCATAGGCAGATAATGATGAACATGCATTCCTATAGAAAAGGAAGAGGATGCCATAGAGTGCAGTAACTGTGGGACCATTGCCTTATTTTGCTATGCAAGCAAAGAGATCTTCAAGTTTTTTCAACAAAGGTTTCTACACTATACAGGCTGAAATCTAGCTTCAACTAAAGGGCAAGCCCATTGAATTAATGGAACTTACATAAGTTTTGGTTCACCAAATCCACACTGGGCCTACTCTGGTCCTGGAATGTTTGTGTCTGAGGGATGATCTGCATGGTGGGACCCACAGCTTGAATTTCATCTTTAGCTATTTATAGAGATGGGGGTATTCGTTTATGAATATGAATACCCCCCCTACAGGTGGATATAACGAGGGTCCAGCCCCCTGGGGCCAGATTGTCCACTCACCCATCCACTGCTGCATCCAGCTCCGCGCTCCCTTCCAGTTGCTCCAGAGCTCAAGATCGACTAGCCACTCCTGGCAGAAGGAGCCTGTCAGGCTGACAAGTGGCTAGTCGATTTTGAGCTCTGGAACAATTGGAAGGGAGCATGGAGCCAGCTTCAGCAGTGGACAGGTGAGTGAACAGTCCAGCCCCAGGGGGCTGGACCCTCGTTATGTCCACCTGTGTGGGGGCATTCGTATACGAATACCCCCATCTCTAGTTATTTATCTTAACCTTAATTTGGGTGGTCTTAGGCAAGTGACTCTTCTTTTGCAATATGGATAATTATAACGATAGCCCCTCTTACAAGGTCATTGTTAAAATATGTAATAATACATTGACCAAAATCCTGTTGTGTAACATAAGTAAATTTCTATTTATTTGTCTATTTCTCACCAGTAAATAAAGAGCCCCTGCCAACATTCTTGGGAGTGTACATACCCTCTCTGACAAGAATTGGGGCAGGGACTCTGTATTTATGAGAAAGGAATGGACTGCAATTTACAGATTTGCTTTCATTACGCAACAGGATTTAGGCTTTTGCAGAGATAGTGCACGTGAAGTTGGAACACTAGAAAATACTATACACATGCTATTACTGTTTCCGATATCCTCTATGTGATGGTAACATATGCCTGGCTTTACTTCCTGTTTCAGGATGAAAAAAAGCATTTTTCTGCAGTCCTCATGAGCCTCCGACTTCTGGCAAAATTTTTCGGATTCCTTGTCTTCCTGCCTTATCGCACATCAGAGCCTGTAACTGGGGATCTCCTGGAGTCTGCAGTGGCCTTAAGGAACCAAGTGCGTTTGGCAGCCGGGTTTCCTTGACAAGAAATCAGAGCTTAGAAAAGTTACTGTTTTTCACCATGTCCCAGAATACTTCAGCCAGCATAACTCATGGGGTTCTAGGAATTGTGTGCAAAAGTAACTTGTCCCAACTTTGACAGAAATACTTATACTGGTTCATTATTGAAGACATGCGTCTTTCCATGCTCCAAGGCTGAGGAAAACGGTTCTCATCTATTCAGTCTCATGGCAGTGTTTTTTAAAAGCAGATTTTATAAATGCACAAATGCCTTACCACAAAAAGCCCTTCATGCATCTTTAGACTGAGTGGTTGCTTTAGTGTCTGTGACACATCCGTGAGTAGGACTGCCAGTCTTTCAGAACTGAAGAAGGGGAAATTCTAGCCAAAAAGCATAAATTATTTTATTATGGTTTGGGCAGCTTATCGAAGCCAAGCACTTCCTGACTCTTACATTATGTTATATGATAACCCCTGTTCAGCGTTTCCTCTAACTTTCCAGAGTGTTGCACAGGGGCTACGGCTACAACCAGAAACAAATGAGTGGAAACATTGTCTTGGCTTCGCACACTCGATGCAGCACCGCGCATCTGCACAGCTTAAAGGGAATGTTGCCCCTATTGTTTGAGATTTGAATAAACAGAAGCACATAACTTGTCTAATTTTTCTCTGTTTCTTCAACTGCCCAACTGCATACTTAAAAACTGTCTAGTGGACTAGTTAACTCACCTTTGATGCTTCTACTATGTTAAGCAAGGAACTGAAAGAGCTGCTGAATGTTAGAACTGCCCTTATTTTACAGGGACAGCATAAAGGACAATTCTAACATTTGGTTACTCATTCAGTTATTTGCTTAACTTACTTTCCCTAGTAAGACTATACCAACGATCAGTTGTTTTTAGATCGTCGTAATGCGAAGAATCGGTTCCCAAATTTTCCCCATAGGAACATTGTTTTGCGATCGCAATAGCAATCGCAAAAAAACCATCGTAAAGTGGATTCGTCATTTAACGAGGTAATCGTTAAGTGAGGCACCACTGTATTCTGATTGTTGTCCATCCCAGTAAATGTCCTGAAGAGGAAATTATAATTTTAAAATGCCATCTCTAGTTGTAAGTCCAATCATTAGTCCTGACTAAAGTTGAGCTATTAAATCAGTGGTACTTTCATAGATCAAGGCAAATGTTAAGTCTTACTCATTGAGCAAACCTACTCTGGTTGGAACTAACATTTGGATTTAGGGCCTGGTTGATAACTGGTGGTAGTGGTTATGAAAGTGTTGATGTTTGTCATGAAATGAAGAGCTCCCGCCCCCCTTTTGTGACATTTAAATAATGACAACATTAAGCTGAAGAAGTGAGCCTTTCAGCATGTAGTGAACATTTTTCCAATGTTGTTTTCTCTTAAGATCCACCCTGTGCTGGATGTTCTGAAACTGCTGAGGCAATCCATTCAGAAACAATGCACTGTGCTCACTGTTCCTTGGATTGTAGAGTTCCTTTCTCTCATGGATTATATTGCCCCCTTTCTGGACTACTATGGGAAGATATTTACACTCCTCGTACAGCTGTATAGGTAAGACTTCAGGAAGAGTTCTTGCTTACATGGTTCTTTTTAGAGATTTGCAGCATGGAATTAAACTCTTGCAGGGTACATTGTTGGTCTGTGGGTAAAGCCTTTCTGCCATTAACAGTGTGTATTTGCAGAACTGCTAGAGGTTTGGTATTACTGTTGGCCAGATAGTGTCTGTCTAATAGGCAAGGCTGTGTTCTTTCATGAGTATTCTGTTGGGACTCACATGATGGTGATGGATGGAGCTATAACCAGCAGTTGGCAAGACCCAAGCCGCAAGTGGATTGGTGCTCTCTTCTTTATCTTTCTGGCACTCCTTGCTAGCTTGCCCCCTCTTTCTGTCTGTCTCTCCAGTGGGCTACTAGGGAAGGAATAGGGGTCTGAACTGCTTATTTGCAGAAAACGTGGGACAGTCACATTAAATTAGGGCAAGGACCTTAAGTGTCCTAGTTGCCCAGTAGATTATGATAGCTTGTAGCAGTGGTCCCCAACTTTGGGCCTCCAGATGTTCTTGGACTTCAACTCCCAGAAATCCTAGCCAGCAGAGGTAGTGTGGAAGGCTTCTGGGAGTTGTAGTCCAAGAACATCTGGAGGCCCAAGGTTGGGGACCACTGGCTTGTAGGTTTGAGGTGAAAGTACAGTTCTCACAATTGAAGAAATCTTCAGCTAAGAATGGCATTGGGTTAATAAGCATATTCTTTTTTTCTTTTTTTAAATTATCATTTTTATTGGTATAATCATATAACACTACATGTTTCATTTCAGTCTTCCAAATAAAAACCTTCAACAATTCATTAACCTCCATCAATGGTTTCAGCAGCAGTTCCCACTACATATAGTATATATTTTCAAGTCCTTCTCTAAGAATGGTGCAGTGATCCCTCAAACAACAGATGTTTGGTTGTGTGCATTAATGCTGATGGTATTGTAAGATGAGCCGTGCGTTTTTAAGATATAAAGGAGAGAATTGCTGGATAGCTCAGTGGTTTTAAGTATCTGGCTGTGGAGCCAGAGGTTGGTAGTTCAGTTCCCTGCTGTACCTCCCTGATAGGGGCTGGACGTAATGATCCATAGGGTCCCTTTCAGTTCTTCAGTTCTAAGATTAAATAATTTATTTTAAGAAACCATGAGAAGAGGAAGGTGTGGCTAGTAGGCAGAACTAATGAAACCTGTGAAGCATGATGTTCATATGGTTCTTGTAGGTTTTTCAGGCTGTTTGGCTGTGTTCTGAAGGTTTTTCTTTCTCACATTTCGCCAGTCTCCGTGCCCAGCTTCTTCAGAGGACAGGAGCTAGAACTCTGTGTTCTCGTGTAGTGTGTGGGATAGTTGAGTATTTGTAGCTGTGGGATCAGCTTTTTGTCCTTTTCAGGAGATTGGGTGATCAGGGTGTTTTTTTTAATGGGTGTATTGTTGTGATAAGGGGGAGGTCATCTGTCACTGTTATTGATTAGTGTCATTAGCTAGTTTTTTGTGTTCAGTGATCACCATTCCTTGTGGCTGGGTAGAGTTCATTGTCTAAGACAGCCTGCAAAAAGGTCAACAAACTCTACCCAGCCACAAGGACTAGCAATCACTGCACACAAAAGACTAGCTAACAACACCCATCACAGTGACAGATCATCTCCCCCCTTATCATAACAGTACACCCATAACAAAAAACACACTGATCACCATAATAATCCAGTCTCCTGAAAAGGACAAAAAGCTGACCCCACAACTACAAATACTCAACTATCCCATTGTGTTAGAACACAGACGGAGTTCTAACTCCTGTCCTCTGAAGATGCCGGCCGCAGAGACTGCCGAAACATTAGGAAGAAAACTTCCAGAACACGGCCAGACAACCCAAAAAACCTACAACATCCATTGGATCACAACTGTGAAAGCCTTCAAGAATACATAATGTTTTTTCTCTGTTCTCTTGCAGATGTCTGCTTCTTTCTGAAGAAAAAGGGATGTGTTTCCTGAATAAGTTACTGATCCTAGCTGTTTTAGGATGGCTTTTTCAAGTACGGGCTAGTGTTTCTAACACACAGTTAGAAAACAGTATATATATATATATGTATATATATATTTATATGGCACTCGTTTGTCCTTTCTGTAACATAGCTTTATAGTCATATACTTACCAAAATGTTCAGAGTATATGCCATACGTGAGTACTCATCCACACTGATAATGAAGGCAGTATGTTTCCCTTTCTCTACCCAGTGTGTGGAATTATATGTTCAGGGCTTGTATTCCAGGTGCCTACCGTCCCAGAGAACCTATTCTTCACTGGTGAAGTGACATCAGAAGTGACAACAGACTCTGGAACAGCAGTTCAAGCTCTGGTAATGTTGTGTTGATGAGCACATATGTCTAAGCTAAAACACCTGCAGCTGAAATGCTCTCTGCAGGGTTTTGTGTGCCATCCAGAGCTTCTAATAGAAGTCAAAATCTGTTCCCTTTCCCCTCTTTCTTAGGATTCTGTGCCATTGGTGGACCAGCAGTTGCTTTATACCTGTTGCCCATATCTTGGTGAGTCACTTAGCAACGTATATTTGTGTCAGAGACATGCTTCTTGGAAAATCTTAATTCAGTCCTTTATTAAGCTATGGAGGAAAATTCTAGGAAAAAGAATAAATTGCTTGACCAAAATTTAAATTGCCACTACCTGTAGCCATGCCAAGGAGGCTGGCTGTGTTCTCAACATATGGATTGGAGGGTATTCACTATTGCTTGGTATTCTGACTTTTCTGTCACACTAGCACTGATCCTTGATTGATATCCTGAGAGATTTACAATTACAATACAGTATCTTGAAAAATGGGAGTGGGTGAAATGGAGTTTGTGTTAACAGATGTCCCTATGCCACAACTGCAAACTGTGGAAATGCTCCTAGAAGACATATAATCTGGAATTAAGTTGTTGAAGCCAATTATGTTTGTTAAATCCGTAGAATCTGATGCATACTCAGGAGTCTTCCAGATGATTTCATTTATATGGAAAGCCTAACAGGAACCAGGGCAGTTGAAGAATAAGGGATGGTGGGCATACTTGTACGTTTGGGTTTGGTTTTTTCCATTTTTCAGAACTGAACACCCTAAAAATGTACTCCAGAGGGCTAGAAAGACCTCAAGAGCAGATTTTCAGGTGATGAGGATTTAAAGAACAGAAAAGGAGAAGCTTACTAGCCTGAGGCTGACCTGTTGCTTCTCTACAAGCATAAATATAATCTTGTACCTTTCCTGGCACTTTTAATGAAGAGGCCTATTTGGACTCCAGAAAACTTCCTGGTATGAAATGTGCTTAATCTGAAACACTTCTCTGCAGTTTCCTGCCTCATGCCATGCCTGCGCATGCCGGATTTTAACCCCCATAACAATTTGCTTCAGGTGAGCTGAGGAAACTGCTATCATCTTTTGTGCTGGGAAGTGGAGGAAAAAATGGCGGTTACATTAGAAAAATAACGCCAACGGCTGCAGAGGCCTTGGCCTCAAAGGCTTCCATCACTCAGCAGAAACTGCAGGTAAGAGGCTTGTCATTTTTGTGTCAAAAGCCTGCCAGCTGTATTGAAGAGGAAGGAAAGCCTTACCAAGAGCTGGATTATCTAGCTTGGCATTTGTTCTCAGGGGAGGTTTACAGTTCACCTGCGGAGATGGCTTCTTTTCACTTGTCACCTGCCTAAGGGGCTTAGTGTGGAGAAAGGAGACATTTTGGAAAGCACTTGTGGAATATCCCGTTTCAGTTAAAAACAACAACAACAGTACAATTTCAGTTAAAAATCCAAAATGCTCAGGAATATTTTATAAATTACTTGGGGTGGGGGTGGGGAGTCAAATGAAATATTCTGATTTCTTCAAGATCCTTTTCCTCTTTTTAAATAGGCAGAGCTAGAGCACGCCTTCTTCCACAATCAGCCCCCATCTCTGCGGAGGACGGTAGAATTTGTGGCGGAAAGAATAGGATCCAATTGTGTCAAGCACATCAAGTAAGAGCGGGAGAGGGCGTCTCTTCTTGTTGAGATACATGCATTGCGTAGCAAGGAGAATTTTAAGTCCCTTCTTGATGGAAGGTGGCACATCTTCATCTTTGGGTGATTGCAACAACATCACAGTTTTTAACTAGTGGTCTGTGGATTTATCAGATACGTCTCTTCTGTCTAATCTTATGCACACTTTTTAGTTGGAGAAGCCATCCACAAATATTCTCATTCCAATGAAAATTCCGTAACATAGAATGCCAGTTCAGTAGAACTGATAATAAGAGTATGAACTGATTCTCTGATGGTTTGTATGGTGGTGCTTTTGCTTGTTTTTACATCCTGAGATCAAGCAGGTGGCTGCTGGGGAAAAGGTCTACTCAGTGGGGTCACACAGATAGGGGAAGTTTGTAATTGCCTTGAGATAATATTGGCACCTGGCAACCTTTTTTATTTTCCCAGACATTTTAATTCTCTTTATGTTATTTTCATGCTATTTAATGCTCATATTTTGTTTCTACAGTTTGCTTTTGGTAGTAGTTTGCAACTTTTGTTTCAGTTTGCGCTGTTGTAATTAAAAATCCAGCTAACTCATATCCAAATCTTGCTGCACAGTGGGATTATAAATAATGTTAAATGAAGAAAGGCCCCAGAGAGATAGATAATCATGCTGCTCTCTTTGGCCTTTTTTCAATATAATAATTCTACACCAACTGGGTATTTTTAAGAGAATAGGATGCCTTTTTTTACATCCTATTCTCTTGCCCCATAGACCTAGCTTTAGAGCAAATTGATACATTAAACTGTCATTTCCCATGACCAGACATGGAACCTCTGAATTTTTAAAATGTATTTATTTATTTATTTATGGAATGCAGCTCTCAGAATTAATCAGTAATCCCCCTAGACGGAATTACAGGAGCTGCAGCTAAGAAATCAAAATTCCTAAAGTTGTTTTCATTACTCATATTACTCACATTTGGGCCTCCTGAGCCATCGTTGTCCCTGAAGAAGAAGGATATAGCTGGGCATGGCAAAGCTCCATGGGAACTGCAAAGGATTATGGAATGAGTAGTTTATTGAGAGACATTCTTTGTAGAGCCTACTGGGCAGAGAGAATATCTTCCTCATTGATTTTTTGACTGTGGCTCCCAGAGTTCACCAAGAATTCCTTTAACCAGAATTCTGGGAGCTACAGCCAAAAAATTAATGGGACAGGTAGACTCTCTGACCATTAGGCTCTATAATGGATACTTCTCAAAAAAGCCTACCTGTTTGGTGAAACAATCAAGGGCCACGCAAGATCGTGACAATACGTTTTGGTTTTCTTTCCTTAACTCTTTGAATCTTGGGATTTTACAGAGCAACCCTGGTAGCAGAGCTGGTGAAGAGAGCTGAGGTCATATTGCTGGATAATATGAAGGCAGAAGATGCTCATAATGACAGATTGCTAGATGAGGTGTGCTCCCAGCTATATGAAGAAGGGGCACAAGCTCTTATTCAAGGCAAAGAGTAAGGAGAAACAGCTATGTGATATAAGTATTTCTTAATTTTCCTGGTCTGTTATATGGCCAGCCTGGGCTGTAATATTTGAGATGACATAAAAGTGTATGGCTGGACCATTTCTAACTACTAGTAGGTTAACAGCTTTCTCTTAGTTTCTCTCTCCTTTCTGGTCTAGCTGTTTCATGTAGTAGAGTGCACAGAATTTGAAAGGATTTTTGTACATTACATCTTTTAGCAATAGAAAATAGAGACCTGCCTTTTGGGATGGATCACATAGGAATCCATAGACACTAATAATGCACTTTCCCAAACCTTTGTCCTGCAATAACATTTTTAATTGTTGGTTTTTTAAGTTGCTTCCTATGTATATTTATAGATTTTGTAGGAGGAAGGGGCCTGAGGCTGTGAAAATCCTGCTGCCAGAAGAGACGTCTGCAGCAGTATGTATATTTTTGGGACTTCTCCTTTTTCCTGTTTGTTTTCAAGCTTACCGACACTAGAGAGTGTGTTCTTGACAGTGGTGAGTAGAGAGGGGCACAAGCCATTGGTTTTGTGGTTCATGCCGGTTCATTTATTGGCCAAACAGATGTTTGGTGCTTTAAAGCCCCGCCTCCTCTGGTGGGCGCCCACTTGGAGGCAGCGGTCCGGCTTCCCTGCCCTGCCTCCTCCAGGCACTGCCTCCTGAGTGGGTGCCTGCTGGAGGGCCTGGGGCTGTGAAATGCCAGCACCTGTTCAGCCTATCTCTAGGGGTGACTTAAAAATTGGGGGAAGCCAGACACCTAATCTGAATCTTGTGCTAGTTTGTAGTAATTGGACCTTTTTCCTGAAATGTTCAACCAGCTGAAAATGCAAAGCTGTTCTTAATATCCCAGCATCCTCATTCAGTCAGTTATGTTAAGAAAAAATGTTAATTAGTTCTCAGTGCCAAGTAATGCTCACCTGCCATTTTTTCCCCAACTAAAAATAGACTCTTTGGTTGGACTTTGGGCATTTATCTGGGAGTCAGTGTTCCGGGATTAGAACAGGAGGATGCAACAGTGCTGAAAGGAAGGTGACTCCCCCCTCCCCTTCTCACTGCAACCCTTCCGGCATCCATGAAATTGGCTTTGGGACACTGCAGAGGGCTGAAATGGAAGAAGCTCCAACTGCAATCACTAATGGTCTGTCGGGCTTATCCCACTCTCAGCAGTGTTTCTCATTGTACCTCTACAAACCAATATTTTAACAGCACTTGGAAGAAGATCTCAAAGAAGCCTTCATTTGTCCTTAGTTGTTCTCATAGGATAGTATCAACTTCCAAGAACCAAAAGGCTGAGAGAGACCAAAACCAATTAACAGAGTTAATTTCCCTGAAGAACAACATTTCATTCATTTCTCGTGTTTGCTGCAGGTTTTAATGACGTTTTGGAATTGTTCTGTCAATTTGCCGTGTGATGTGTGCCAGTGCAAATAACTATATATATCTCTCCTGTTCTTTCTTCCAAGGTTTTAAACTGTGCAGCAAATATTGCAGTTGGACTAGCTACTGAAAAGGCCTGTGCTTGGCTCTCCACCAATATCACAGGTAAGCTGATCTGCTTGTTGGAGGAAAGGCTTGTGCAGATTTGAATTGGAGTTCCTGAATGTAAGATTTGGTGTAAACTAAGGTTAGGGAATGTGTTACTGTCTAGATCAGGTGATGGGCAACTTTGGTGGGCCTGATGGCTGAATATGCATCCTCAGCATCCATTATGTTCTGCAGGGGACTTGGGAATAGCCAGAAATCGACATATCCAAATTTGCTAGTGCCTGGACAGACACTTCCAGTTTTGATTTTTTGTTTTGGGCTGTTAGGATGGGTTTGGAAATGGATGCTTTCAACCACTGAAAAGCAAAAGCCTCTTTCTCCGAAAGTCTGCAGGAATAGAACTCCCTTATTGTACAGAATGTGGAAGGATTTCTGCATGCTGCTACTTTTAGCACTGGGAACCAGATAGAGCTATCTTTTGAGGTGGTTCCCAAAGGGATTAATGGAAACATGAATAATGTACCATATTTTTCTATGTATAAGACTATGCTTTCATCTAAAATCTTCAGACTAAAAATTGAGGGTCGTCTTATACATGGAAGTAAGGGGGGAGGGATCAAAGCACTGCAGGATCACAGCCCTTTGACCTTCCCGCTGTTTCATCACTGCTTTCCCCCTCCTCTTCCTAAGCCAGGGCTTATGAAGTGCAGGAGGAAAGCAGCCATAAAAGGACTGCAGGATGAAAGGGCTGTGATCCTGCAGCCCTTTCATTCCTGGTTTCTCCCTCCACTTCCTAAGATTACTGCTTTCCCCCTCTACTTCCGCAGCCCTTTGATCCTGCTTTTGCAGGGGTTAGGAAGTGGAGGGGGAAAGCAGTGATTAAATTTTCTAATTTGGGCTTAGAAAAGTAGGGGTTGTCTTATACATTGGGTCATCTTATACACAGAAAAATACAGTACTTTCCCCAACCCTTTGTCCTACAATATCCTTTTAGTTGGTGGTTTCTCTGCATGGAGAGGAGGATATGCTGTCCACCCCTAATCTCATCATTGCAACACTGCTGTTATCATCAGTAATGGCTATGCTGGGAATGATGGGAGTTGCAGTCCATCGTCATCCAGAGGACCACTTGTTTTGCACTTTTAGTTTAAACTACCAGTAGATCAGGCCCAGGGAGGTTATTGAGGGTTCAGAGCAAGGGTTCAGATGGTTCACTCAGCACCAACCAGCAGAGCATCAGAGGCATTAGACGTTTCATTTATTTTATTAAGTATTTCTCTCTTTTCAGCACTTGGTAGGGCATTGATGATGAATTACAAACCTGCACCTTTAAAAAGAATGATCAAAACTGAAGGGTCAGTAATCATGTGGAAGCTACCAAAACCTTGGCAAAGCTGATGTGGCTTCACTACTTATCTAAAACCCCTTAAAAAGGGGGGTCTAATTGAACTTTTCTTAGAGGAGAGTTCCACAACTAGACTGCTGCTACTGGGAAAAAGCTCTGTCTTTTGTCACTGGTTGGTGCCTTACTCAGTGGTAGAACGCAGAACGGGGCTTTTTAGAGTGACTACAACTACAACGAGTAATGAAGTAATTGCAGGTATCGGTGAACTGCCTCTAGCAAATCCATTTATCACCTCTGCGTAAGCATGTGGTTATCTCCCTAGGAATCACAACAGGCTCCTAACTATGGCAGTCAGTGATGGAAAGCTCCCAAACAGCAACTTCAGAAGGCCTTTGACTGGAGCAGCTATGTTTCTCCCTTAGTGATGATTTTTATGGCTGCTTTCCTCCTGCACTTCATAAGCCCTGGCTTAGGAAGTGGAGGGGGAAAGCAGTGATGAAACAGCTGTAGGATCAAAGGGCTGTGATCCTGCAGTGCTTTGATCCCTTCCCCCTTACTTCCATGTATAAGACGACCCTCAATTTTTAGTCTGAAGATTTTTAATCCTCCTGTTTGAACTATTTTTTTCTTGATGCGCTTGCTCTGTTTGGTTTAATTATTATTTGATTGTATAGATAGTCCTGATGTGAACTACCTTTGATTTCTGTAAAGGCAAGGCATAAGTATGATTAAAAAAATTAGAACAAGAATTGAGCTGGTGTTTTAGGGTGAACTTTGGCCATCCTGTCTTACTCACAGTGGGATCTCAGTTTATGTGACTAGTCACCTGGACATGATCTGCATCATCTCTGTGTTGGATCCAACATCTGTCTAGGGTCTCATGCTGTATAAATACTTGGGAGTCAGGAGAAAAAGCAGAGATGCCTCCATATTCACAATGGGTTTCCACGCCTCCACTTATATAACATAAGAAGGAATAAATGCACTGCTTCATCCTTACAGCCTTGATTAAGAGGGAGGTAAAGGCCACATTCAGCCGCATGTTGAAAGGTCAAGTGATCTCCTTGCCCAATAACACTGATGCTGTACAGAGGACAAAGGGCTGTCCCGCAGGCTGCTGCCACCAGGCTGTGTTCCCCTCCCAGATCATCAATGAAATCAAGGTAAGTACCTGCTCCTCACATCTTAAATTCTCTTCCCATCACTAGATCCTTCTCAAGACAAAGCCACTTTTCTCTCAACCAGTGTGTTACCTAAAACCAATCTGTTTTACTGATGTAACAGCTACTGTATCTGTCTACTTTCTTCTGCTCTTAGCTTACTTACAGAGAAGCCTGTGAGCTTTGCCTTAAGGCAGTGGGTGGAATTACAGGGATGCAAGCCAAGTTTTTGTTTGTAGAGAGACGTGAGGCTGTAAATTGAGATACTTGATACCTTGGTTTCATGTGCAACCTGCTGAACTCCATCTGACCTTGTTGGCTGTCTTGTTTTGAGTCATGGCTGTCTCATCTGGCCCAATGTTTGAGCAGTTTTAGAGGGATACACCATCTCTGGCCTGTTGAAGAATCCTGGAGCACTCAAAAGCTTTCCATATTTATAACTTTATGGTGATTTTTCAAGCATATTAGCTAAACCAGAACTTTATGTCTACAGATTAATCACACAACTGCTGCTTTTTTCCCTTCATCTCACTTTATGTTTGATTTTACGGCATATTCTCCTACCCTGAGGCCACTTTCTCCAATACAGGTGATGTGGAGGGGGTATAATGCAGAAAGATATTGTGGATAGCCATGATTTTTACAAGCTCAGCTATGAAATTTGGTGTAGGAGAGTTCTCTTGGATTCTATACAGTGCGTGTGCATTTTTATGAGTCACAAATGCTGTTGTGCCCAGGATGTCCTCTGTATTGCTGTGGGTCCAAGGGATGAAGATGAAGAAATCCAGTTTGCTGATCTGGAAAGTTTGTTGGAAAGGCTGAGCCAAACACTTCGATGCAGGAAGGTACATTTGACTAGCATGTCTGTGTGTGCACACAAGAGAGAGAGACTGGGAGAGAGAGTGTGTGTGTCCTTTTAGGATGGAAGGTGTAATGTATGTATTGTGTTCTAGGCTTCTCATTTTCCAGTCAGTCCAAGCTGGCTCATTGTTCTTGGGTGTAAAATAACTAACACTTGTGTGTGTGTGTTAGTTACAGCATATTGTTTTAAAACACTGTGAATGAGCAGCAGGAAAGGCCCATGTGTGTTAGAATTGCAGCATTTACCACAAGCAGGGGCTGCAATCCAGGCCATCCCTGCACACAGATGTTGTTTGCCTCTTGCTCGTACATTTTCTGCCACCATCTTCTCTAACAAATCCCCTAAACTGGGTTCCTCAAGCTGTCAAGAAAAATAAGGGATAGGTCAGCCAGAATTTAAGGTCACCCTTTGCCAGCACTCAGCCTATATACCTCCCTTGCTTCCTCCACCTCATTGAATAACTGATTCTTCATGGTCTCAGTGAAAGGAAGGGAACCATGTGATCCCAGAAGGAGTCATTAAGAAGTCATTTACTTCCAGTAGTCCAACAAAGAACCTTGAATTCAAGTAAGGATAAAATGGTAGGGGAGGAAAATAGTGAGTGACACAGTGAAACAAGAAATCAAATCTGGATCCAGCAACACTGCTTTGCCTGACTCAATCCTCAGTAAACTGGGGGGGCGGGGGGGGGGCGGAATCTAAGCTCCCTTAGGTTTCCTTGTTGGCATTCTTTAGGGTGCCCAGAATCCTATTGCCAACTGGGCACGCACCAAGGAATGCAACCAGCATTTGATCATGAGCAGGGCTTGAAAATTTGTAGAATGTCTCACCAGTCAAAAATTTCACCAATCAGCATGACCGGACTATAGCCTTGTAATGTATTGGGATTGGGAACCACTGATTTATATCCTCAGACTTGGGTGGCTTTATTACCTGCATGCTTGTGGGGTCATGAATCTTGTATTTTGAATGCCTTTCTTTAGAATGTCTCCAGCAAAAATAAAAATGAAAGCAAAAGCGCCCGGCCTCTTAAGGAGCCATGGTTCCCTCCTACCCGAGGATGTGTCCTACTTGGATTGAAACTGGGAGCAGAGAATCTCCATATTCTCCAGCATGGGACTACTCTACATTCTCCTGCAGAGCTATATCTCTATGTGCCGCTCGAACTCTCTTCTCGTGAGAAGAGGGCAGTTTTCCTTTTGCAGTGGGAGGGGGAAGGGAAGACTGCAGGATTAGAGAGGGGGGGCGAGTGGAAGGAGGCAGGCAGGGAGGGAGCTGTGACTAGTCCAGCAGCATTTTTCACTCATCACAGATGAGTGGATGAGTGCATTTTTTAAACCCTGATCATGAGTGACAGTTTACGACCAAGACCTTTTTCCCATATGCAAGCCAAAATCAGCGCCAGAAATCTAGCCAGTGCCTTGCTTTGATAACGCTGAATTAAGACACACAGCTCAAAATGGGTGTTCTTCAAAGCTGTAGATGTTTGATTAGAAGTACCCATGATCGATATTGGGCACCTCCCTGGACACTGAACAGAGGTTCACGTAGGGTGGTAATGCGCCATAGCTCAGAAGAGAGAATGGTGCAAGGAAGAGGACAGTCTACTTAATATATCTAAAGAGCAGTTAACACTATGTGGAAACCTAAAATAAACACTTTCTTGGGTGTTAGGAATTTGTGAGAGACTGCTTGTCTTAGTTGGCACAGCACACAAATACAGAATAAGCATAGATCTTAATTATGGAAGTGTTCTCAGAGGATTCACTTTCAGATTTCTGTTTTTCAGTTCATATGTCCAACATCAGAACAACAGCTGGCGAAGTGCTCTGTAGAGATGGCTTCCCTTCTCGGTAGGAGTCGTAATGCTTCTTATTAGTATTCCTCTTCTCTTCCCTCTTGTTTAGATCCCTCATTTTAAAGAAATACTATCTGCAACAGCATAGCCTGTATTATACCATCAGGGCAGGTTCATATAGTAGTAATTAAATGCCAAGTTGTATGTTTCCTTTGTTGACACAGAGCTTACTCTCCATTGGAGATGGGGATTGAACTAGCCCTAAGATTAATTGAATTAGAGTCCTCATTTGCAGAACTAAATCTTTTGTACCTATCAATGTGAACTGTTCAACTCCAGTTCAGGAGATAAAACTCATGCTTGTTCCATAACATTAGCTGTAATGTGATCAGAAAGCTACTTCTTTTACTACAGTTCTATCTTTCTTCAACAAAATACAAGGCCATGCATGGAATTTGTGTGTCCCTTCTTTTCTGTTCTCATCATGAACCCACAGACTAGATCAAAATGAAAGATAGTCACTGACCCAAGGTTAACCAAACAAGCATCATGGGTTTCTTGAATTCTGCAGTGAGACTGTGGCCACTAAACTGTGCTTGGATGACCCCTCAAACTTGATTCACTCCAAACTTTATTGTGTTCATAGCTTCACTTTTATATGTTAAACCTATTCAACAATAAAAGCAGGCTTACAGAGAGAAAGATGTATCAGACATTTGGGTTTACTGTTTGTTTCATTTACCAATAGCTTCCTAGGGAAAAAGACCTCAGGACTACATCAAGCAGAAGTAATAAAGACCAATCTTTTCATGTGAAGTTACAAATGCTTACAAAAGTACTGAAGTCCATTCATTGGAAAGGCCACACAGTTGGCACCTATTTCTATTTATTTATTTATCATTTATTTATTATTTTTACTTCTATACTGCCCCATTTGTGTAAACATACTCTGGGCGGTTCACAGCACATCAGGTCATCATTGCAACCAGACAGTGCAAAATTACTATATACAATAAATTACAATAAAACCCCTGTCACTAGTTCAATAAACTTGAATTTAAACAGAATTAAACAAATTTGATCATCTCTGGACCATGATTAAAAACTAATAAAAGGCAGCTTTATATAATTTTTATTAATTTTCTAAATACTGAAGAAGGTGGTGCCTGAACAAGCTTATTCCAAGAAAGGCCCACGACTAAGAAAGCAGTGTTCCTGCTGTTCACTCTTTTGGCCTCCTTAAGGGGTCACCATTTTTTAACATCAGAGACTGCAAGGAGCAGGTGGGACCGGTAGCTATGTTGTGGCAGAGATGTTTCAACAAGTATTTCTAGCATAATACTGGTTAGCATTTGTAGAGCATCCACATGGAGTGTTCCTCTTACTTCTCATCCACCGTTACTGGATTAGTATCCAGTTCTTTTTAGAAATGTTATTTGGATCAATTTATTCCATTGTGGTTGGCATACAATGGTTGCTGTAGTCAGTGAAGTAGGATCGTTGCTGCCAAGCTTCCCGTTTTCATTCACCTATTGTCACCCTGACTAATAGCTGTTGGATAGCAGTATCTTCCATGAATATGTCTAATTTTCTGCTAGAGCCATGCAGGCTGGTGGTCAGCACCACATCTTGTGGGCACATAGTTTAACTGTGGACTGCAAGAAGAGGTCCTTCCGTTTACTTCTGCAGAGTCTCTCACTCTTCTAACTCATTGGAGGACCCTAGAATGTAGAGCAAGTAAAACTCACCCTCTGCTTTTTCGTACACCATCCATCCTTCTATGCTTTTCAAAAAACTGCCTCCCCGTGCACCTTTTTACATTTCCCGGTTTATACTGGAATAGGACTCCATTTTCCACATAGATGAAGTATGCAATTTTTTCCCACTCTGTAGTTAGGAGCCAGGGAATATTTCATCTCCTGTCCTTCCTGTTTCTCTGTTTAAAATCCTAGGAAGCAGATGGAAAGTGCTGACATCTTGAAGATGTCATATTTCTTGTGATCAGGAAGGATCTATACAGGGAATTCTAACATAATCTTATTTTAGTTTCAGATCGTATTCCCATCCAGGGGCTTAACTCTTGGGCCCCAAAGAAGCAGGAGCCACAGCAAGCAAAGAACCACCTCATTTCTAGCCTTTTGAAATCCTTGCTCTCCATCTGGAAAGAAGACTTCCAGACACCTGTGCCGTTTCAGCTCATCTTCAGTAGGAAGAATGCTGCCTGTCTTGCAGACAACAAACAGCACAAGGTGAGGTTTTTCCAAACTTTTACAGAGAGTTGGAGCAAGTTGTGCAGATGACATGAGGGATGCTTGCCTTCAGCTTTCAGTGGGCAAGTAAACAGGAAAAGAACAAACTGCCAAATCGTGATGTGCAAGAAACTGGAAATAAAAGAGTATATGCTTGTAGAGACTTGTGGGCTAGTTTCATACTTGGTTTCTCGTAAACTGTGTTTGTGAATCTTTTTGTTGCCTACACTACCGTATACCCATCTCCTCAGCTAGGAAAACACTGATTTTCCTCGAGCATTTTCAAGGGCCACTCCAGCTTTTGAAATCAAAGTTTTGTCACGAATACACGTCACCTGATTTTGATGGGAGGGGAGTTACAAGGTAACCTTTCTCATGCTGGTGCCCTCCATGTATGTTGGCCATGAAGTTATAGAGCAGGGTTCCCCAACCCCCAGTCCGTGGCCTTGGCAGGACCAGCCGTGGACAGAGATCTCCCTCCCCCAGCGCAACAGGGGTGGTAGTTATGGTGCCTGTAGGGTGATTGCAGTTACCATACTGGGTTTTGGGAGGTGAAAATGGGTCCCTACACTTTTGAGGCATGCCAGCCCCAAGCAATAATGTATCTAACTAGAGTCAGGAGGATTGTAAAGCTGGACAATACCCTAAAGGTCATCAAATCCCTTAAGCCTCTACCAAAGCAAGGGCCCACAGCTAAAGCATTTCTCACACAGGGCCATCTAACTTGAGTTTAAAGCTCTCTGGCGAAGGAGAGTTCCCCACCCTCTTTGGCAACCCCATTCCATGGTCAAACAGAACTAACAAAAAGTTTTTCTTCGTGTTTAGGTGAAATATCTTTTTTCATAATTTGAATCCCTCATTTCAGGTCTTACCCTCCGGAACTACAGTAAACAAATTTGCCCCATCTTCCATGTGACAGCCATTCAGATATTTGAAGAAGACTATCCTATTGCTTCTCAGGCTCCCCCCCCCTCGCTTAGCTGTTCCTTGGAGGGCTTGAGTTTCCAGATCTTTGAAGGCCCCTTGATGCTTTTTATTTTCTTTGCAGTGGGATTTGTTCCTCTTCCTGCTTCATGGTCTCGTTGAGCATGGCTTAATGGCAGAAAAGGAGATACAAAACTGTTTGTACAGCCTCCAGGAACTCCCATGGCCTTCAGTAAGTATTTCAGTCCAGTTTACTATTTAAGTACATGTGGATTGATTTTGTATCCTTATTTTCTTTTTAAAGATCATCCTACTGACGGGTGATTTTCAGAAATTAAAGAGTCCCCCCCACCATCCTGTGGCTGCCAATGGCTTCTCCATGACTAAAGCAGATTACTCAGAAGTAGAGAGGGGGGTATTTGTATACGAATATGAATACCCCTGCACAAGGGGACATAACGAGGGTTGGTCCACTCACCAATCCGCTGTGGGCGCGGGCACCACAGCCTTCCAAAGGCTCTAGAGATCACGTTCGGCTTGCCACTCCTGGCAGGAGGCGGGACAAGAAGCCTCTCTGCTAGGTCAAAGAGTGGCTCGCCAAACATGCTCTCCAGGGCCATTGGAAGGCTTTGCGCCCACAGCGGATCGGTGAGTGGACCACCCAGACCTATGGGGCTGGACTCTCGCTATGTCCACCTGTGCGGGGGTATTAGTATATGAATACCCCCATCTCTACTCCTTTGTCTTGGGACCTTCAAGGGAGATGGGGTAGGGTTAGAATTTTTTTATTTTTGAAAAAAATCTGCAGCTGATGATGTTATCAGTCTTATGTGGCATAGCAGTGAAACCAGGATTTCAGCCAATAAATGTAAAGTAGCAGAGGCAATAATTAACACTTATGGGTAGTGGTTGTTGTGGGTTTTTCGGGCTCTTTGGCCATGTTCTGAAGTTTGTTCTTCCTAACGTTTCACCAGTCTCTGTGGCCGGCATCTTCAGAGGACAGCACTACTTATGGGTAGCTTTTTAACTCTTATGGCCTGTAAAGCATTGTCTGTTAACCAGAAATACATTCCAAGAAATACTAAGCTTTTGCTATGGACTTTTCTTTTTGTTTTATAGGAGTTCTCCAAGGAACTAGAATCTTTGCTAAGACTATTCATTTCTGAGGACTACATAGCAGAACCAAAGACTTGGGCCTGTGAATTGGTGGGACAGTCTAGAGGGACAGTGACAGCACAAGTTAGTAGAAGCACCGTGCTGAAAAGTTGCTGAAATTGTACATGAATGCCCTGTTTGTGGTTGCACTTGGGTGTTAACATTGGAGCTCTGTCTTGCCCTCTACAAGTGGTGTCCATGTGTTTTAAGAACCTTAATAGGAACTGGAGGAGCAGATGTGCTTCTGTTTGAAAACAGAAAAGTTGGAAGACACAAGACGGACTGGAATCTACACAGATGTGTAAAAAATAATAATAAACCAGCTAGAGTAAGACTCCCAGGAGCTGAAGGATTCTCATTAAAGAGAATTCTTTTGTTCCATAACAGTTCACATGTGGCCTTGAGGGTAAATCTTTAGTGAGAGACTGGTATTTAACACTGATCAAGAGCTCATGTTTGATCATTCACAGATTATCTCGTTTTAAAAAGTGGAACTATGTCTTAAAATGCAATCATTGGTAAAATATCAAGTGTTGGTTTCAGACATTTTAAAAAGGGATGGCTTGCCCTTTACTGAAATTTGCTTTTTCTATTTTCTAATGATGAGGTAAGTTTTACTTCTATTAGGAAAACAGTATTAAGTGGTAGCACCATTTAATTATTAACTGTGACATATTTGCCATTTAGACATTTTATCATAAATGTGGAATGTGCTGAAGAACTGCAGAGCCTGAAACTAGTTTTGGGAGGATATTGTCTCCCTATGTTACTAGGACATGCTTTCCCCCAGCGGTGGTTTTAGAACCTTGTAAACTTACCATTACAAAAGCCAGAAAGATATCCCAAAGTCTCTTTGGCAAACAAACATCACAAAAGAGACTAAGATCTCTTTGCTGGTATATTATAATGGTTCTGATCCAATGAATCATTATCATGCAAGGTTTTTTGTGAAATTAACATTTCCTAAAGGGAGACTGTTTCATGTACATTCAACTGTTAGAATAGTTCCATGGTCCATATTTTGCAAAGATGACAAAAAATATATATCTACAGGTGTTCTTGCCTTGCAATACCTACATTTTGCTACCTCTAGGGGCACAGTATATCTGTGAGTAGAGAAGGATGGTCACCAAGATTCATTCTTAGCGACTAGGGGAGTAGGAGCAGAATTTTTCACAGCACAAGTCAGTATATAACTAGTCAAATGGACAAGAAAATAATGCAGATTTCAGCCACTCTTGTCAGTATAAAAATTATTTATTGTGAGGATATGAAAATAGCAATCTTGGTTAAAAGCAGACATGGGCTAAAGGCATGGCACAGCGAACGTGTATTTTCCCACATTCAATAAAAGGTTTCACAGAAAATTTGTTTGCCCTAGTTTAAGCTCTTCTTGCCATTCAAGGCATTCACAGGTACCATAGTGTTATAGGTGCAAAAGAAAACATTTATTATATAAATAGTACTTTCGAAGTATCAATTATTTCTAAAAAGCATACATTAATTGAATACCTTTAAAAATAATAATTAGCTTCAGCGTATAAAACCATCTCAAAATAAGCTTATATAAATAACTTAATTTGTAAACATAGAAAAACAGTTGTATGCAAATATAAAAATAAACATCTGATGCACTGTACAATAAGACATTATCCTTCAACAGGCACCCTCTGTGTTAAGAGTAGAGTCCATCTTAGATGTTGTTCCTGCAAAAGTCATTTGGTTCATTAACAGAGTGCCATGTCTCAAAAATAAAAACATAAACTAATGGAGCCAGTGATCATCTGAAATATCTCCCAAAATTGGTTGCTACATTCTATTTTAATTACATGATTGCTGCTACTGGGATAATTTGCAGAATCTCATCCTGCCCCGTCCTGGTAAAAATTCCACATGACAACAAAGCTAAGGTTCTAGACGCTGCACAATGTCCTTCTGAAGGTCTACAGTTCAGTCGCTTGGAATATCTTACCAAACTGTGTTTGTTTGTCACCAAAGGGAGTTTCTGTGCTTTATTTCCCCCCCAAAGTAGATATATACTTAACAGCTGGTTTAGCAGCCCAGTTCTAGCCATATGTACTCAAAAGTGAACCCAAGAGAATTTAATAAAACTACTGTACTCCATGGGGTCACGAAGAGTCGGACACGACTAAACGACTAAACAACTAAACAACAACAACTGAAGTAAATGTGTACTGGAGAACAGTTTCACTTGTTTTGCCATGAGCTAAATATTTTCTGTAACAAGCAGATCTGTGAATTACTAGAGATTTAAAGTGGGTTTAAAGGGTCGGGGAGAGCAGGACGCCGGTAGCTCAGTCCAAGAAGGCACTTTCACCAGCTCATGAGGAGATGGGAATCTCTCTTCATTGTATGCTGCATTGTATATCACTGTAGTAGCGAGGGGAAGTTATGGGAACATTATGGTGCCCATGCGCAGCCATTTAGAGCTAGTCGTGAGTCGCCAGATCACTCTATAGCAATTATGAAGCACTGTTCTATAGAGATGGGAATGAACCATTGCTTCGGCAGTTCATGCTGGTTTGTTTATCACCCAAACATGGTTTTGGCGCTGCCTCCGAGTGGATACCCGTCGGAGGAGGCGGGGTTGGGAAGCACCGAACACCTGCTTGGCCAATAAACAAACTGCCAGTTCTTGCTCATCTCTACTGTTGTATCCTACTCACACCATATCTGCCAACAGGTGTCTAACTTTCTCCATTGCTTCACTTCCACTGTGTGAAATCACAGCTACGTTACAGCTTATGATCATATTTACTGCGTTACCTGCAGCAGGAATAGTGCAGCAAAGGACAAAGAAGGAACCTGGTGATAGGTATTCTTCCTGTTGATCACCCTGCATGTTACAAATAGATTAAATAGATTGGAGCAGTTACTAACTCCAATTAAACACTGTAGTAAGATATTACGCTTAAAAAAAGCAGGCTTCTAATTAACCAAAGCAAGCTGGCAGAAAATGATGCAGTAATAACCGTGTTGTGCTACCTGCGTATTTTTAGAAACAATGTGAACTGAATAGTCCACACTTCACAATAAGTAAGACCAGCTGCTAGACACTAGTTTATAGTATTGGGGAGGGGGGACTGTTAACCCCCTTTACTATGGCAAGAATCATAGGAATTGTATGAAGCATATAATGCAGTTTGTTTGATATAATCAAATGTTACAACACGTCAGACAGCAGAATTACCCAAAATGCAGTTGGGTTGTGGTGAAGAACTCGTTAGGAGCAACACTTAATGAACTTCCTACCAATTTCAGCCTGGCAAAATAAAGCTACAAGTTGATTTACCTTGCTTTAAGTGCCTTTTCATGATCAGTTCTCTTCCTGCTGTACAGCGAGGGGAGTTCTGAACTAAGTTGTTGCATTTGTTGGTGTGGTAAAACTCCCCTCTGCAGAATTCACAGAGTAATGGATGTTATGCAGTAAACGAGTGTGCCCGCTCTGGCTTTAGAGCTGCCAGTTTAGTTAGGCTTGTGATGCAGTGATTTTGTAGAATATCTCAGTTCTTGTTTTTTGGCTGAGGGCATGCAGGGACCACTTCAGGTATTCACAAGCGTGATCACTCCAACAGCTCCTGCTAAAGGCTTAGACCGCTAGCACACCCTTAACTTTACTTTGACAAGTTCGAAAGTTGTCCAGCTAGCAGCAAGAGCCAACTTCACTGAAACAGTGCTTCCGAATGAAGAATTCATTGTAATAATAAGTGTACACTCTGCAATGAGAACTGCAGTAGTTTTGCTTCAGCAATGAAGTACTCCTGAAAAAATGTATCATGACATTCAAGGTGTTTTTAATTTTGTGGCACCAACAGTTTTTCTGTGGTTGGTCTAAAGGAAGTTGCAAGAGTTTGTAAGCAGGCTTTTGCCTTTCAGTGCTTGGCCACCGTTTCTGTAGAAATTGCCTTTCTCTGAAGGATGATACACGGCAATTCTGCCAATGGGCATATCCTTAATCAGCATTTGTTCTCTGATTACCACGTCCAAAACAGGTGATGTATAGCTGTCCAGGGAACCTTTTTAGGGCGACTTCTCTCCCCCGTCCAGCCTGTGCTCAAGCTGTTTAGAAAACCAATTCTGGCACTACTGGTAGTTACATGTTGGTGCCGAAAGACATGTTTGTGAGTCATTCCCTACACGTACCTAACTAGCCAGAAGGTGAGCAAGGCGAGCAATCACCAAAGGTTGTCGCTTGACAAAAGAGCTGAGAAGGTTTGCAGGAATGGCTGGAGCACCAAGGTCTACCTAAATCAAGGAAAGAGAACTGTGTCAGTCCTGTTAGGTAATTTTACATGTCACTGGAAGAGCAGGCTCAGTTGCATCCTCCTCCCTAGCCACATGAGAGATACTGACTCAAAGAGCTGGTTTGTGTCAGGCAGGAAGAAATCTGACCAACTGAAGGGGACCTCAACAGAATTACAAGGGAATGGTTGTGCTGCTTCCCCACTGACATTCACAGATAAAGCATAGGCATGCACAAGAGGAAAGTCTGTACTGGGTGTTCTTGCCCCCCGCCCCCCGTGTTAGCTGGAAGGTTTCGTTTTGAGTAGTATGTTTGTACAGAGCTATGCCTAGCTAAGCTTCAGAGCCTTCTCTCAGATCCATCATATTTAGGTGTCTGTAAAGCAAACCTATCCATTATAAAGGAAATCAACCCTGAGTGCTCACTGGAAGGACAGATCCTGAAGCTGAGCCTCCAATACTTTGGCCATCTCATGAGAAGAGAGGACTCCCTGGAAAAGACTCTGATGTTGGGGAAGTGTTAGGGCAAGAGGAGAAGAGGACGACAGAGGATGAGATGGTTGGACAGTGTCATCGAAGCGACCAACATGAATTTGACCAAACTCCGGGAGGCAGTGGAAGACAGGAGGGCCTGGCCTGCTCTGAAGTCGGACACGACTTAACGACTGAACAACAACAAGTAGGTAGAGCTCCCAGAATAGAGAATTATGAAACTTGTAGTCCAGAAAATCCCATCCCTAGAGGGCACATTCCAGCAGTCTGGGGCTGTATGTACCCATCTCTCATGTTGGAGAGCTACATGCATGACTCCCACAGCTCAGGCTTCTAGTTTTTTTTCTTCACACTGAGACCTTCAATGTGTCCCATGGTATCTCACACCATTTTTTTAAAGGGGAGGGTATAAACAGCCCCAGGGTAAGTAGAAACATCAAAACATGGCAAATCCCCCCCCCAATCTTTAGAGAGCATATGCCCAATTCCTAGATTGTAATTGAGTACCATATCTTAATTGTGATATGTGTTATGAATGTGTGCATGCACACATGCTGCCCTAACATAAAGTGCAATATCCTATCGATTGGGATTAGTATACAGTACTTGCAAACGTATATTAACTGTGTTCTCTGCTACTTGTTTTATTACCACATAGGTTAAACTTGCAATTTGTTAGACTTGTACAAAAAAAGTCTGTCACCAAAAACAAAACTTTAAACTTTTCATTCGCAATGTAAACAATCTTGCAAAAAACATGTTCCCATGGAAACTGCTAGTGCAAATCATCATCATCACCTTAGAACTCCAGAGCTAGAAAAGATCATCGAATCCAGCTCTGGTCAAGGAGGCACAGTGCAGAATCACTCCCAACTTCTGCCTCTGTGGCCAGATACCTAAACTACTGAGCTATCGAGAAGTTCAAGTGGGAGTCCTGTTGGGCAAAAAAAGTTGCCAACCTTTACTTTATTTTATTCCTCCCGCTCTGACTTTTTGCATACTTCTTTGAAATACATGTCATCCACTCAGTCATTTGCTAGAGCAAAGAGGATCCACCCACTGTTTTACCGAGCAGTTCTCACTGCTCCTGTTGTACAGAAAGTCCTGGAATGGTGTTCCCCAAGACACCCTCTCGATTATATTGGAGCATTCAATGTAATTAGTATTACGTTTTACACTACGTATTCATATATGTGAACGTTCTTCTGCAGCCATCGCTTGTAAAATGAATGTTAGGGGAGGCCATATAACCTTAGGGTCAGTTTCAGTGGAAGGTGCTTAAGCTTCATTAATCATGAGAAAGACGGTGGTGTGCCTTTACTTGTACACCCCCATTGTACCTTTTCTTCTGGGACATATTAGTACTGTATTTGTAAAACAAATGGCAAACCCTAAACTTTAAAAATACATACAGTGGACCCTCTACTTATAGAATTAGTCCATATTGGAACGGTGGCTGCAGGTCAAAAAGTCTATAGGTCACGTCTCCATTGACTTACAATGCATTGAAAACCGATTAATCCCGTAACCAGCTGTTTTTGTTCCATTTTGGTTTTTCTCTGGTCTGTAGGTCGATTCTCTGGCTGCAAGTCGAACCTAAATTTTGCAGCCAGAGAAGTCTGTAACTCGAAAAGTCTGTAAGTCAAGCCGTCTGTAAGTCGAGGGTCCACTGTAAATAAAAGACGTACTGGGTCCTCAATGCTCCAGAAATTGCCTGGCTATTCTACAAACTGACACTAGGTTTCCAACCAGAAGCAAAAATGCAGTTTCTTGGCTTCTGAGTTCCTCCATATTATGTTCAACCATATAAAAATGGAACAACTTTATATATGTATTTTAATGAAAGTGTATTTTGTTATGTATATGTACATGTGCACACCAAAACTGGTGCTTTCTAATCTCCATCACCCCCCACTTAGCATGACCAATATGCATACTAGCTGGGAATTATGGAGGTTGTAGCCCAATGCATCTGTATGGAACCATGCTATGAAATCAGGTGTATTAATGTATTTCTATAAATCAAGGATTGTCTAAAATTCTCTTTGGCTAAAGCATACTTTCTATATATGCTCTACTTGCACAACTTGCTGTAATGAGCAGACATACCATAAATACTGTTTCTGTCTTGCATAGCCATTTACCTGTATCATGTAAACGACTTTAGTAATGTCTCTTCCATTCACGGTGTCAGGTTCTAGTATCCAGGCACTGGGCAAGATCTCCCCTCGTACCATTTCTTTGCAAGGACGAGGCATTGACTCTTCATAAACAGATTGAATAGCTAGGATGCACACATTCTCCTGCATATATGAAAGTACAGTGAAGATTAATGTCAGAACAGTGCAGTACCAACAAGTGTAAATTTCCCCCCTTTTTAAACCGTTTTCCATCTTTTATTCTACTTTTAGACCTCAGGCTGGCTGCTAGATAAACACAGAGATCAATAAATTTCAATATGAAAAAAAAATGTCTGACTACTAATTTGTCTGAACTAAATAGAAATAAACAGATTTGTTTCCATCTAATCAAATTATTGGCTAATTCCAGGCATTCCAGTTGAACTACTTAAAATCTTAAAAGATGACGCTGTTAAGGCGCTACACTCAATACGCCAGCAAGCTTGGAAAACTCAACAGTGGCCAGAGGATTGGAAACGATCAGTCTACATCCCAATCCAAAAGAAGGGCAGTGCCAAAGAATGCTCCAACTACCGTACAATTGCACTAATTTTACACGCTAGCAAGGTTATACTCAAAATCCTCCAAGGCAGGCTTCAGCAGTATGTGGACCGAGAACTCCCAGAAGTACAAGCTGGATTTCGAAGGGGCAGAGGAACTAGAGACCAAATTGCTAACATGTGCTGGATTATGGAGAAAGCCAGAGAGTTCCAGAAAAACATCTAGTTTTGCTTCATTGACTATGCAAAAGCCTTTGACTGTGTGGACCACAGCAAACTACGGCAAGTCCTTAAAGAAATGGGAGTGCTTGACGACCTTATCTATCTCCAGAGAAATCTATATGTGGGACAGGAAGCAATAGTTAGAACTGGATATGGAACAATTGATACAAAATTGGGAAAGCAATATGACAAGGCTGTATATTGTCTCTCTGCTTATTTAACTTATATGCAGAATACATCATGCGAAAAGCTGGTCTGTAGGAATCCCAAGCCGGAATTAAGATTGCTAAAAAGAATATCAACAACCTCAGATATGCAGATGATACCACTCTGATGGCAGAAAGTGAGGAGGAATTAAAGAACCTCTTAATGAGGGTGAAAGAGGAAAGCGCAAAAAATGGTCTGGAGCTCAACATTAAAAAAAAACTAAGATCATGGCCACTGGCCCCATCACCTCCTGGGAAATAGAAGGGGAAGATATGAAGGCAGTGACAGCTTTTACTTTATTGGGCTCCATGATCACTGCAGATGGTGACAGCAGCCCCGAAATTAAAAGGCGCCTGCTTCTTGGGAGGAACAAACCTAGACAGCATCTTAAAAAGCAGAGACACCACCTTGCCGACAAAGGTCAGCATAGTCAAAGCTGTGGTTTTTCCAGTAGTGATGTATGGAAGTGAGAGCTGGACCATAAAGAAGGCTGACCGCTGAAGATTTGATGCTTTTGAATTGTGGTGCTGGAGGAGACTCTTGAGAGTCCCGTGGACTGCAAGGAGAACAAACCTATCCATTCTGAAGTAAATCAATCCTGAGTGCTCACTGGAAGGACAGATCCTGAAGCTGAGGATCCAATACAGTGGTGCCTTGACTTACGAACACCCTGACCTACGAACATTTTGAGTTACGAACACCTCCGGACGCGAAATACTGCTTTAAGAATGGAACTTTGACTTATGAATGGAAAAAGGCAGGGGGGAAAAGGCGGGAAATTCAAACCGTTGGTGGCAAAGAGGCTGCTGCTTTTTAGCTCTTTCGCCTCAATGGTTAGAGCAGGCAGTTAGGGAACTCCTGGGGCACAGGAGGAGGAAAGAGAGGCAGGGCGGCATGGTTTACTCACAAGTAAGCACCACTGAAGGTGACACGGTTTACTCACAAGTAAGCACCACTGAAGGTGTGGGTCTGCTTGTGAGTAAGCGCCGCCAATGGCGCGGGTCGGAGGGGCTCCGTGGTGGCGCAGGAGGCGGAAGGAGCAGTGGCCAGGTGCCGGTGCTTTGGAAGCCCGGGAAGCCTCCACGGAGGCTTCGGACTGGTAAGGTGCTACTTTTTCCTTTTAAAAAAGTTGTTCTGGGTGGGTTTTGGAGGGCAGGTTTGGGCTGGGGGGGGTAACATTTCTGTGTTGTTTTCTGGTGGGTTTTTTTTTTCAGTCCCAGCGTGGGATTTGCTCCTGTTTTTATTTTTGGATTTGTTTGTTTTTTATTTATTTTTTTTGCAGTCCCAGCGTGGGACTTGCAGTGTTTTACATACTTACTGTACATATTTACTGTACATACAGGGTTCTTGCAGCTCGGGGGGGGATTTTTTTTGCAAGGATCTGTGCTGGCTGATGGAGATCTAAAATGCATTTTACTCATCTGCATTTAAAATCAGAAATGGTGTTCCAAAGGTTTATTGTGTCTAAAATACAGCTTAGACTAATGTCTCTACCCCCCATCTCTCTATGCTTTCTTTTTGTGATGAGTTCTGTGCTAGAAGAATGCTTGCCAATTGTTGGTGCAAGCAGGCTTTAAAATGCAGCTTAAACTCAGGTCTCCCCCCCCTCTCTTTGCTCTCTTTTTGTGATGAGTTCTGTGCTGGAAGAATGCTTGCTGGTTGTTGGTGCAAGTAGGCTTTAAAAGGCAGCCTAGACTCAGTTCTCTCTATCCCCCACTGCTCTCTTTTTGTGATGAGGAGTTCTGTGCTGGAAGAATGCTTGCTGGTTGTTGGTGCAAGCAGGCTTTAAAATGCAGCTTAAACTCAGGTCTCTCCCTCCCCCATGCTCTCTTTTTGTGATGAGGAGTTCTGTGCTAGAAGAATGCTTGCTGGTTGTTGGTGCAAATTTCTCCCCCTAGTGGTAAGAGTATTGATTAATCGGCTTTGACTTAAGAACCATGCCTTGACATAAGGTCAAAAAACAGCCGAAACGCATTAATCGGTTTTCAGTGCATTCCTATGGGAAATGCTGCTTTGACTTAAGAACGTTTTGATTTACAGCCACTGTTCCAATATGGATTAAGTTTTTAAGTCAAGGCACCACTGGCCATCTCATGAGAAGAGAAAAGACCCTGATGTTGGGAAAGTGTGAGGGCAAGAGGAGAAGGGGACGACAGAGGATGAGATGGTTGGACAGTGTCATCGAAGCTACAAACATGAATTTGACCCAACTCCAGGAGGCAGTGGAAGACAGGAGGGCCTGGAATGTTCTGGTCCATGGGGTCACAAAGAGTCAGACACGACTTAATGACTAAACAACAACAAATTCAAATTATTATGGAGTCAAGAGATCTCATAATTCAGAAGTGTTATATAAAAAGACCACCACTAAATTAGAACATTTTAAATTAGTTTTGCATTTTGTACTGGCTGGGGATATATGAAGAACACAGATGTACTTACCTTTCTGGCTTCTACAGAGATGCAGCAGAAGTCTCTTGGTTGCTTTTGGTAACACACGGAAGCATCACTCACAACATATACTGTAATTAAATCCAAAGAGAACAAGTTGTTATGACAATTTCTACACTCATTTATATGCTTGTCCAACTGAGCAAAAATCACAGCAGTAAGCAGGATGAAAAGGATGTACAGAGGTGCATCTAGATCTGAAAAATGAACAGCTCTGAGGCTATGATGTAAGTTGCAGAAACCTCCTTTGTAACTCCCCCCTTTATTTCACATTTTTAAATAGTGTTTTTATTTGATACATACAAACATACAGAATCAAAAACTAAAACCAAACAGAAATAACACTAAATAACAACAAAACATCAAAACTAAACATCCATAGAAACTTCACCATTGTCTAGACATCCAAATATCATCAAAGGATTCTAGTGAGCACTGATTCGCCATAAACTATTTCTTCCCCAAAGTTCTTGTCTTTTTCTGAGCCCAATTATACATCGTGCCCCGCTGGACTATAACCCTGCTCTACGACGAATCCGCATTACGTCGATGTTTTGCAAAAGCGATTGCAAAACGATGTTCCCTATGGGGGAATTTTGCTTTGCGATGATCGCTTCCTTGCTTTGGGAACCGATCATCACAAAGTGATGATTTTTGGCCAGCTGATCGGCGGTTTCAAAATGGCCACCGGGTAAACATAATGGCCACGCGCTCTTTTCTGGCACGGATTCTTCGCTGCACGGGCAGCGAAAATGGCCGTGCTATGGAGGATCTTTGCTGGACAGTGAGTTTCAAGCCCCTAGGAACGCATTAATCGGGTTTTAATGCGTTTCTATGGGCTTTTAAAAATCGCATTACGACGTTTTCGTTTTACAGCGATTTCGCTGGAACGAATTAGCATCATAATGCAAGGCACCACTGTATCTCAGTTGATCCTGTAGTGCTCCTGAAAGCATATCTAGTTCTGCAATGTCCAGTAGCTTCTTTAGTAGCTCATCCATTGCTGGTGTTTCTCCATTCTTCAATTTTCGGGCCCAGAGTAACCTTGCTGCAGTAAATATATACAGTAGACTATATTTTATTTTCTTATCAATAATTTCTGGCATTATATTCAATAATAACATTTCAGGTTTAAAACTTAGTTTTTGCTGAACAATTTCTTGTGAGATTTCCCAAACCTGTAACTAATTTTTTTTAACATTTCCAACAATCATTATTGAGCCCTTCTGACATTTTTGGCAATTTTATCGGAGTAAAATGTCATCTATGAAATATTTTAAGGATGTTTTCTCTTAAGATTCTAGTTTCAGCATTGACCACCAATCTATCACAGGACTCAGTTTCTCTAGATCTTTATATTTCATAGTTTGATCTTTAGTTAACAAATCTTTTATAGGTAAGTAAAACTCCCTTCTGATTCCCCCCTTCCTTTCACATTAAGTTTGTTCCCTCCAATTGTTCGTCAGCATGATGCAGCAAATATAAACTTGACTAGAGTTTTTTCAGGAGCAGGAGATAATGGATGGAGTATGGAATTAAACATCCATCCTGCAGGCTGCTTCTCTGCAGCAATGTATACCTACTCACAGCACTTTGTAAGGATATCACCCAGAGCCGCTCCATAAACAATAACAAAAAAGGGGAATACATTAAGACAAGAGTAAGACATATTCAGTTACTGTATATGAAATAAACTGAGAAGGTACTGGTAACATTATCTATTTTTTACAAATGATTCCATACTTTTGATGGTTCGAGAATAAATTCCATACTTTCGTTTCTTTAAACATATACCTATTAACAACCTAGAAACACCATGTGTCTGGTGACTAAATTGTGGGGCTCAGTGCAGTTCCTTCATAAAACGTCTGGAAGTGCTATACCACTCACAGCAACCGCCTCCCCCCAAAAAAAATAGTGGTTATGAAATCTTAATTTTAACTCGGGGACTCCATACAACAATGCACAATGTTTTCCAGATGATTTCCCAAGAGAATTTAATCATAATAGCTATTGTTAGTAGACAACATTCAACAAATTTCATTTCAAGATGCAGGATATGTGACAATTTTGGATGAGTAGCATCTTACTGACCTAGATTCCCTGCTATAATTTTGAGGTTGTTTTTTTTCAAACAGAGCTCCTAATTAGAAATAAGCAACAACAGGAAAAAGATCAATCTAGTGACAGCTATGAACCAAGTTGAATTACTGTATGTAGTTAAATTCATATTTACCCAACTCAATGTCACTGGTTATTTTCTTGTGCACTTGTGCTGTGGTAATGGTTTTGTCATACAGGTGTCTTTTACTAGGATCCTTGAGCAAACACAAGATGGTGGGAAGAGGTCTATCAATCACTCCTGCCCCCAGGAATCCATGCTTGGTTGCAGATGATGAGAAGGCTTTATAATAAACTAAAACATCTTTCTCCACACACTGGTATCTATAATTAAGAAAAACAACATGGAAGTAAGCTTTCATTAAGAATAAATGGGCTCTTAAGTAAACCTTAAAGGAATGTTTGGCAAAAACTTACTTCCACCCAGCTGTTGCCCAGCCACTGTAAAGGTTCTTCAGGTCATTCGAACACATTGCCATCACCTTTGGAGCAATGCAAAGGCCAACAACAACATTTACACTTCTTATGACTTTTTGTTTTTTTTAAAAATGAAATGTCTTACAAATAAAAATTTAAAATAACAGAAATAATGTATAGTATAAAGCACTGTTGAGAATGCTACAAAGTCATCTTTAATTCAGGTCTACCTCACTGTTGAGAATGCCACAAAGTCATCTTTAATTCAGGTCTACCTGAATTCAGTGACTTAACTGCTTAGCCTGGTAAGGAAATGTTAACCCTCTCTTCTGAAAAACATTAAGGAAGCCTTCGTTTAATTCAAGATGAGAGTCAGACCCACAAGGCCCACTTCTGTAACTCCCAGACCTGCCCCTGCCTCCCTCCCAGCCCTGAATAATGTAATGTAAGAAGAATTGTGCCTTCTGGGACTGAGTGTCTTTAAGACAAGTACCCTAATTCTGGCCCAAAAAGAAATATTAAGAATATATTCCCATCATCTCAGGAGGAGTTGGTGCAGCATAAGATGTGGGGAGAGAAACTGCCACTGGATCTTTCATGTTTATCTAGCCACAATATATTGGGAATGGTCCACATGTTTTTTTAAAAAAATGGAACAAAGTACATGGTAAACATATCTTCCACCAGAAAGATAATCATGACATATACCATTAAATTCTGATTTCTGGCCACCCTTTTCGGGGCTTTCTAGGTAGAGAATACTCAGGTAAATTCTGATTTCTGGCCACCCTTTTTGGGGCTTACAGAGAATACTCAGAAGTGGTTTACCATTCCCTCCTCCTTGGGACACCCTAGGACTGTGCAGCTTGCCCCGAGCTATATATACACCACTGCTCTCCTTACAGCTCCTTTAGTATTACAATGTTATGACACTCAGCAAGTAAAAATTGTGTTGGGTGCAGTTTTAGTCACATATCATGTATTCTACAGTTGGCATGGTGGTTTCTATACCAGAACCCATCCCTGGAATGTGAAAGTCACACTATATCAATGTCTGAACAAAGCAAAATGCAGGTCTTGCAGATATATAAACTTCAATGTTGTAAGCATAACATTTCATCAGAGTAGAAGATAGGTTAATTACTGCAGGATAAGGGCCATGACGTAAACTGCAGTGAAACGCTGCTATTTAACAAGCTATTACTTGTATTCCTCATCATGTAAGTTTTAGAGCAGTGGTCCCCAACCTTGGGCCTCCAGATGTTCTTGGACTTCAACTCCCAGAAATCCTGGCCAGCAGAGGTGGTGGTGAAGGCTTCTGGGAGTTGTAGTCCAAGAACATCAGGAGGCCCAAGGTTGGAGACCACTGTTTTAGAGCACAGTGAGGGGCACAAATGGCAACTAGTGGTAATCTGACATTGCAGTCTATGCCATTTACTTACACCGGTGTAAATAACCAGTAGGAACCAATAACAGATAGGTCAGTAGAATTAGTATAAAATATTGTATACTGTGCCATATTAGTACCCCTGATTTCTTTATGAAAGAACAGGCAACAATTCTACAAGGAAAAGGTGCCCATTTTGTTCTCTTGGAAAACTGGTCCCCACTGGAATGGTATTTCATATCCAGCATGGTACCCTGGGATCTTCAGCAGTGAGCATGGCATTAAACCAGCTTTTGGAGGTGTCCAGCTTTTTCTTTTTCTTTCTTTACAACCCCTACAAGTATGCAGTCGTGCGCAAAGCATGCATGTCCCTATTTTATTATATTTGTGAGTAGAAGTTGCACAGTGAACATCTTCCCAAACAGGGTGCCACCCTATAAGAAAAATGTCAAGCATAAAGTGGGGCTCAGCAATTGTGTAAAGGAAACCTGAATAGCAAATACAGAAACCCAGGACATGACAAAGCTTAACAGTCATTGCAGGTGTCTACTCACCTCAGCAGTAGCATTAGCCAAGACATGTTTGGACAGATCTTCATATCCTTTTACAGGAGAGGCTGGAAAGGTGCTAGATGAAACGTTTAGGCTATGAGAATACTCATGGCTGGAAGCAAGTGGTGAGAGCATACTGCTCCTCTCCACAGAAGAAGAGCTCATAGGAAAAAATTCTGAAAGAGACAAACAAGGAATCTGTACGGTTCCTAGACTTCCTAGATTCAATCTGGATGATCCTCAGGCCAAAATCCTTTGGCTCTGTGGGCCAATGTAATACTCCACAGGTGGTCCTCCACGATATCCAGTTTGCCTTTGTGCAAAGCTGAGATTGTGGCAATGGAGCTTATACTTATCCTGTACTTCCTCAGGTAAGTTTGGAAAAATGGAGTGTAGCAAGAGTAGGAGGAGCAACAGAATTGTGCCTTTGACAGATGCATGGTGAATGTACATGAATCAGATCAGCAGTCCACTTGGCATATTAATCTGCCACATGACACACTGATGTTTGAAAGCACCATTTCCACAATACATATGCAGTAGGACCCCCTTATCCACGGGATCAGTATCCACTGATTCACTTACCCACGGCCTGAAAATATTAAAAATACAGTACTGTATTAAAAGAAATTAGCCACTAGAGGAAGCCAAAGACTGTGCTATAAATACTTGTTAGTGAAGAATACATAGCATGGTCTCTGGAGCCCTCTAGTAGCCAGTGCTAGTAATGCATGTGGAAATATGTTTTCCTTTTACTATGCTATACATATAGTGTTCACTATTACCCATTACTTGGAACCAATATCCGTGGATATGGGGGTTCTACTGTATTTCCAGATCTAAAAGACCAAATGTGTTCTGAGGTGGAGTGTGCTCCTGGCCAAAACATTTTTTCTGCTTACAAATTAACTTCAGACTATTATTATTCATCATACTAGGCACTCCCTGGAAGTGACCACTGTTCACACTACGGTGGTACCTTGGTTTACAAATGCCTTGGTTTACATAATTTTCAGTTTATGAACCGAAATCCATAGAAAATAATGCCCCAGTTTACGTTTTTTCCTCTCTCCCCCCCCCCACTGTACAAAGGGGTTTCCCCAGGACGCATTGCGCCTGGAGGTTTCTAGCACCCCACCCCCCCGTTCCTCTTGCAATCTGCATTTTGGTTTATGAAATTCCCAAATGACTAAACGTCCCGGAGGATGCATTAATTTCATAAAACGAGGCACGCCTGTACTTCTAAAAGTTATTACGTACTTCAATATATCTTTTGAATATTGCAGTGTATAGGACACCCTGGATCCAGAGGAATCAATATGTTTGAGGTTATCCACAACTGCTTGGTTGTTTCCTTTGCCTGTTTACTGTTGAGTGAGGGGAGCCTCATGGCCTGGGCCTTCTGGGTTGAATTACCTTTGCCTACTCTTCTCAAGTAGCAACGGAGAACACTTAACGGCATCCAGGAAAAGCATGCATAAGCACAGCATTGCAAGGACTCCTGAAAATCGGTAGGGAATGGAGAGCTTTACAGCAAGGCTCCTACAGTACAGTATTTGTCTGCTTGGTTCTGAACTGAGCTGAGTGTGTCAGCCCATCATCACAAGGGAATCTACAATAGCAGTACATTATTTAATCTAGTGTTTTGCTATGTGCAACCACTGTCTTCCATCCTGTTTAACAACAATCGTTCAACATTTCATTAATTTTTATAGTGTGTCACTATCATCCTTTCTGTAATACTTGAAGATTAGAGCATTTGAAAATGCAGAGAAATACATATTTCCCTTTCAAACATTACAGAAACATTGGTCAATATATGGATTAAAAAAGGACCTGTATTTGCCTGAATTATATGAAACAGCCCCTTTTCTAAACAGCATAGTAACGACTTAGGCTTACTTTCAATTTTTTAATCAAATTATAAATGCATAAAAAATATAGTTTGCTTTCCCTCTTTAAAAAACACGAGTCATTCAGCACATGTTTGAATTGGCACTCTTTATAAATAGATTTATTCAACTCTCACCACTTGAAGAACCCTTTGGCAATTGCTCAAGAATATAAAGTTGATGATTTCTGATAACTGAGCGACCTCTTCCACCATCCCTTGGGTGTTCTGCGTGTTCAGAGGAAGTCTGGTCGATAGGGAAAAAATGTATTCAGTAAGGCACTTCATATATACGAATGATAATAATCACATTAGAAATTTTAATTTTATTTATATTCCACGCTTCTCCCAGGGCAGCAACATAACGTTCACATAATGTGAATTAGAACTGATATAGCTATAAGGACAGCAAATACTAAAATACAGATAAATCATTGCATTAAAAATAAGCTTATTAAAAGCATGCAACAGCCATTTGAAAGCACAAAAAAGGGCAAGAAGTTCAAACAGTCCCAATACAAAGACCCTTCCTCAACAGCCCATTAGAGGCTAAAGGCCTGTCTATACAAGCAGTGCAGCAACACCTGGAGGGGGCGGGTGCAGCGTTCAGGCATGCCCAGGTCCCAGCCTGCAGTTTAGCCTATATGGGAACAGGCAAACATCTGCATGGAGCTGCTGTTGCTTGCAGAATTTCCAAAGCAAACACATCCTTTCTTTTCCTATACATACCCCACATTCTTGATGAATGTAATTATGAGGTGCACCGAGTATGTTTTTTCGCAAAGAAATGTCGTAAGCGAGGTCTATTTGGATTTTAAGGGGCAGCACCATGCAGTAAACCACAGGGTCACACAAACATTTATTTTATAAAAAGGATGCCTCTCTCTTCTTGGAAGCAAATGAAGTACCCTAGTGGGTCAGTCAGAGTTTATTGCAGTTCTAGGACCCATCCAAACAAAAGAATAAAATCCAAACAGCAGACTCAGATTGTTTAAAAGCCTTCTCTTACAAGCCATGTTCTATTTTTTACCTGGTCTTCCTGTTTTCCAAGTATATTAGGAGCATAAGTGGCTGTGCCACTACTGTTGTATCCAGATGTTGGTCCTGAAGACAGACTGAGGGTGGAATCTGTACATAAAGTGCTTGTGCTTACAAGGGTCTTCAGCTTAGCTTCCTCCTTTATCCAAAGAACATAGAAGTGAAACACTTAAATTTTTTCACCCAACTTTTTAATTTTATTTTAATCAGCCTGCAATTTATCTACTTATGATGGTTCCCATTGCTGTTTCCACTGGAACATCCTGACCACTGTGAAGATTTGTATAAGTGTCATAAATGCATTACAGAGAAGCCGCTTATAGGGTTCCCATTCTCAGCAACCCTGTAAAGGAGGACACCTGTGAAGATGTTTGTGGTGAACATATGTTGGTCTGCAGGGCTTCGAGGTGAGGTGGGCTGGTGGAGGGTAGAGCTTACATGCACGGTCCCATCGCCAGCACCCTTTGATCCTGACATGAGCCTGAAGCCCTGCAATATGTGTCCCTACCAACTGTAGTAATGAGGGTTTTGCTAATCATACCCAATATGAAAAAGACTACTATATGTCTATCTCTAGCTCCGAACTTGGAAAAGGCCTTATGTGACTTAAAACTTTTTTCTTTCTCTCTTTTGTGTGTGTGTGTGTGACCCACTATGAAAAAGGCTACTATATGTCTATCTCTAGCTCCACACTTGGAAAAGGCCTTCTGTGACTTAAAACTTTTTTCTTTCTCTCTCTCGTGTGTGTGTGTGTGTGTGTGTGTGTGTGTGTGTGTGTGTGTGTGTGTGTGTGTGTGTGTGTGTGTGTGTGTTTGTGTAAAATATATTT